GTTTGAGAATCACTGACTAGTTTTGAGTTGATCATTTCCGCCTGCTGGTCTGGAGGTGATGAGGCTGAGATCTGGGGAAGTCCATTTCTTATAGCTTGGTTCGGAGGAGCGATGTTGGAGCGCGGGCCTATGTTTGTCACTTCGCCTTTGTATAGCAATTCGATGATCGCTTTCGCTTCCGCTTCGTCGTCGTCGTCCCCATCTCCAACGAGCTGCCCGTTATCCAGCTTGCCCATTTTCACAGCACTCTGAAGAACGGATGATTGCGAAGAGGGAAGCACGGAGGAACCAAGAGAGTGCGAGGCAAGAGTACTAGCAGAAAAGCCGGAAGTTGATACATGCTTAACCTTGAATTTCGATGCGGCAGGCCTTGGTGGGGCAGACGAAAGTGTTGCATCAAGCGGCACCTCCTATCAAGCGTTCATTATGAGTATTCCAGTATAGGTGCATGAACAAAGGCGACTTACCGGCTGATCCCAATCATGTTCCGTGTCATCATGACTATGTGCTCTCATAGCACTAGAGGCTTCGGCACCAATGGTGGCTCGCTTCTCGTAGTAAGCTAGTGCAATCTCACGTTGATGGCGGGCAAAATCGAAATTATCTTCTTTCCATTCCACCGGTTCATCATCGCTCATGTGCTCCGTGTCGCTTGAGCCGGAGGAAAGCGGCGAAGTCGAAGCCTCTGCTTCTTCTCCATCCTCGGACAGATCTAAATGGATAATCTCACCTTCATCGGAATCGGCAAGAACTGGGGAAGCTGGTTCAGATTCGTCGTCTGAATCGCCGTTAGAGATATCGCCAACGGGAGGAGGGGGTGATCGGAGACCGGCAGGACGACGTTCTACAATCTCCATCTTCATGGGTTGTTTATCCATCTGTGCCTTAGTCAAGAGCGAAAGTTTACCCTTCCGCTGTAATCTGGCTAGTGATACATCACCCAGCTGAGTTTCATGTTCTGGGTACGATGAGGGCTGCTCCTCCAAGTCCTCGGGGACGTCAGCGAACGTGACGCTCTTCTGCGGTTTAAGCCTTTTTCTCTCCTCGCGCTGGTTACGCTCTTCCCTTTCTACGTTAGCGGCCTCTCTCTCTTCCCGCTCTTTAGCGTCGATGACATTACGCAAAAGGGCCTTCCCCATTTTCCTTTGCAATTCCTTCGCCATACGCATCGCCTCGAGCTCTGATTTGGCCATGCTCTTTCGTTGTTCTAGCTCTTGATGCCATCGTTCGCGATCTGCAGCTTCTTGGCGTTCTTGTAAAAGTCTTTCTTCTTCTTCCAAAACGTCAAGTAGGCGTTCACGTTCTGCGCGACGTCTCGCCATTTCTGCTGGAGATAGTGCCCAAAGTGGAAGAATGTCGGGGTCGTCGAAGACATGAGCGGGCTGCGAAGTACCAGCAACAGATATACTGTCGGGGATAGGCTCCACGATGTCAATTATGGGCAATCCTTCCTCGTTGACGAGCTACTCATCCCAAATATAATACATAATATGTATATCAGCGAGCTTGAGTGCAATTCCAGAATGGATGCGGCGTACCTCACCCTTTTCGTTTCGCCTCTGACCCCCTACATCAACCTGGTCGCCATCCCCTAATAATTTTTCGAGTCTGCCGGACAGTTTCTCGACTTGGTCCGGAGTCAAGTTCTGCTCGCCCGCACTAGATGGATTGCTTGGAGTAATAGAGCTGAAAAGAGCCTGCAAAGCTGGTGCTTGATTAGACTCTCGGCTTTCTGGGAAAAGGAATACAGGAGACCTTCCGCCCTGCCTTGATTCAAGTCCTGCGCAAACCCAGAAGTAGCGGGCATCGTGTAATTTGTATTGTGGCCAAATTGCGAAAGAGCAGTCAAATTGGCCGCCGCCGGCAAGCGCCGTCAGCGCCTCTTTCACACTCGGCTGTTGCCGAAACAATTTGTGGCCTCAAGCCCACCACCTGAGCCGCGCTTTTGCATTTGCTGTTGTCCCGTTGTCTTATAGTCTCCCAGAAAATGGTCGTCATCCACGCACAACCCAGCTCCTCCTCTACCACACACAAGAAGAACCGCCGAAAACTGTCCAAGAAACCATTGACCACGCCCGTAGGCGCATCTTCACGAAATGACGAGGACAACGAGATGCAAGATGCCACTATCGACCTTTCCGAAGTTATCCCAGCTACATCTACACTAGCTGAGAATACCGACACTCCAGCGGATGATGAAGTCATGATTGACACCGATCTTGCCTCCTTACCCACCCAATCTGTAGCACCCGCTTTCCCTCCCCTTCCGGCATCTGCACAGCGTGCGACGCTGAAGTCAGAATCTAGGAGAATAGCAATACCACCACATCGTATGACGCCGCTCAAAAAGGACTGGGTCAACATTTTCTCTCCTTTGACAGAGATGCTTCAATTGCAAGTTCGGATGAACGTGCAGAGAAAATGTGTAGAAATTCGAGTGCGTTTCTGCTTTGCAAGAAAAATCACTCTGGGATAACCATAGAGCGTCCGGAACCCAAAGACATCAAAGCATACGCAGGACATTGGTGCAATCCAAAAAGGCGCTGACTTCGTCAAGTCATACGCACTTGGCTTCGATGTGAATGTAAGTGGTCATCGATATAAATGGGAGTTTTGTGCACAAATACATTTCATCTTCTCCAGGATGCCATTGCCCTCCTCCGGTTAGATGACCTCTATCTTGATTCCTTTGAGATCAAGGATGTCAAGACACTGCACGGAGACCATCTGTCCCGTGCCATTGGTAGGTGCTACACTTACACTGAACTTGGCACACTTCTGACCTACCACCCCATGCAGGCCGGATAGCCGGTCAAGACGGGAAAACAAAATTTACAATTGAAAATGCTAGTCGGACTCGAATTGTCCTTGCAGACACGTGTGTTTTCTCAATGTCCTCTCGTGCCTCATCCATCTAAACAGAAACGTATTGCAGAAAGATACATATACTAGGTTCATTCCAGAATATTAAGATTGCGCGCGATGCGATTGTATCTCTCATCCTGGGATCACCTCCTGGAAAGGTGTATGCAGGGCTTAGGACTGTCAGCAGTCGCATGCGGCAGAGAGCTCTGTAAATATTTTGTTTCTGAATGCGATCATACCTTTGTAAGTCTGCTCATACACAAATACGTCCATTGCAGTAGCCTGAGCCGGCCACCTCTTGTCAGGTGTTATTATTGTTGTATCGAATACGGATCGAATACTACCAGTGCGTGGGAAGCGTATTGCCTGAGTGACTGAAATTCAAAGATCATTTGCCTCAATCACTGCGTACACTCAGAGCATGAGCGGGTGTTCAATTGGTCAAGAGCATCACTGAGAGACCTAGAAAATTACACCTGAAGTTGATTCATGCGGTCACCTTATGTTTGGGTGATGGTAGTTGGCAGCATGACCTTGCGCCGATCGTAGTCGGGTCGAGGATCGCGTTTGTGTACGCGTTGTTTGGCTCAGGTCGTCCGTGGTTGAACAATGTCCGTGGCTGGCGTGGTTACAGGCAGTCAATATGGAGCTCATTCCTGCCCTTCTCTTCTGGTCGCTCTTTGTGCAACATTGTGTGGCCAACAGTGCTTGGAATGGTTTCGTACCTCCGGGCACAGATCGACCAGCTAGCTTCACACCATATTTCGTGCCACCAGGGGCGAAGGGCTATGACTCGTCTTCGCCTCTTCTCCACTACTCTGGCCATTGGGCTGACGTTTTTTCGTCCGCATATATACAAAAGACCCTTCGTTCCACTTCGGAGCCTGGTGCTTATATGGCTTTCACATTCACTGGCACTGGAATTGAATGGTTTGGGAATGAGGATCCGAGGCACGGAATCTCGCAGGTCTACATCGACGGCGTCATGGTTCAGGAAGTAGATGCATGGAGCGTTATTCCAAGGAAACAGCAGCGATTATACTGGAATTTCCAGCTGCCGGCAGGTAGACACACCATGAAGATCGTCAATACAGGCAAGAAGAGGAATGTGTCGAAAGGCACATACATGGATGTGGATGCTCTTGTGGTCACCCTAGGACCACCGCTCGATCGAAACGTATATCCAATTCAGAGCCTGGACGTCGCCGCCGAGCCTGCCTCAGACTATCCGCCGCTCTTTGACTATGCTTCGTCTCCCCCTACGGCTTCCCAATGGACCCTTATGCAAGAGGGAAGCACCGGTGTCTCTGCCATGCAACTAGCTGTTGTCTCTAATTCTCATGCTCTGATAATTGATAAGGTGGAGCATAATCCCTTGACCATCTCTGGACATCCTGCGTGGGCAGCACTCTACAATCTCAAGACTCACGCAGTCAAACCCCTTGCTATGCAGTCTAACTCCTTCTGTGCGGGAGGGACCTTTCTCAGCAATGGGACACTGATCAATATCGGAGGCAATCCTGTTGTCGAGGACCACACCTCAGCTGCTGACTTTGGCGACTTGGACGGCTTACAGGCCATTCGCGTCTTCGAACCTTGTGACTCCGAGGACGTGGATGATTGCAGCATATACGAGCATCATGACCGGATCCGTACAACAAGTCCTCGCTGGTACAATACGGTCGTACGTATCTCAGATGGAAGTGCGATGATTATCGGCGGCTCTCTGAAAGGAGGCTGGATCAACAATGTCACTGTCAACAATCCAACGATCGAGTACTGGCCGCCAAAAAATATTGATGGATCAAACGGGCTGCCTATTTACCTGCCATTCTTGGTAGATACTCTGAACGCGAATCTCTTTCCTGTTGCCTTTTCTCTGCCGGATGGCATGGTATTCATGGCTGCGAATCAAGATGCCATGGTCTATGACTGGCAACACAATACTGAGCACAGACTACCGCAGATCCCAAACGGTGTACGAGTGACTTATCCCATGGCTGGTACAGCTCTGTTACTCCCTCTTTCTCCAGTCAACAATTATGCTCCGGAAGTGCTCATCTGTGGGGGATCTACAGTTGACGACAAGAAAGCTGGATATGAGATCACTTCACAGGACTTGGCCTCTGCACAATGTTCTCGACTGCTGCTGACGGACGCCGGTATTGCTGCGGGCTGGCAAGTCGAGGACATGCCTCAGGCGCGCACCATGCTCGATGCTATACTGTTGCCTACTGGTAAGGTTGTCATCGTAAACGGAGCCGCGACCGGCATTTCGGGCTATGGCAATGTCATCGACCAGATTGGTGCATCCAACGCCGACAATCCTGTGTTTACTCCCGTTCTTTATGACCCGTTATTACCGCAGGGGCGACGATTCTCATCGCTGGGCATGCCGACGAGTAATATCGCGAGGATGTATCACTCAGTTGCGACGTTGACACCCAATGGAAACATTATGGTTGCTGGAAGTAATCCGAATCTGGATCGCAGTGAGGTAGAGTATGGGACAGAATATCGCGTCGAATGGCTGAACCCGCCATACATGATCGTCGAAAGACCAGCTGTTGTCGCTGCAACGCTGAAGCAGCTTAATTTTGGCCAGAGCATTCAGGTGAACGTACAGCTGCCGTCCTCGACCAACGACGATGATGTTGTGAAGGGTAGGTAGATAAATACCTCTTTCTCCAATACTAACAAATCCATTGTAACTCTAGTTGCCCTGATGGATCTGGGCTTTGTAACGCATACCGTGCACGCCAATTCGCGTCTGGTCTATCTTGCATCGACGCTTTCGGATGACAAGCAAATACTCATGATCACTGGTCCACCGAGTGGGAATGTGTATCCGCCAGGGCCTGGCTGGTTATACATCGTTGTAAACGATATACCTAGTATTGGGTTCAAGGTGATGGTGGGAGATGGCAAGGGGCCTACCGTTGATGACGGTGCACTGCAGAAGTCAGTTTAATTTCTGCCTTTTACCAAAGTGAGACGTGTTGATATATGCGATAGCATGCTTACCAAAACCGAGATTGACCAATATGAGAAGTCAAAGAAGAAAGACAAAAGCAAGGCAAAAGGGGGAGCAAAATGTTGTTGAGATTGCGCAAGCTGTCGTTGGATTCTAATACTCAAGCGTCTTTTAGTAAATGTCCCTGGTTTATCGATGTATGTTCTCTTTACAATCGCATTGCTTATTTCGGTAGTCTTCTCTTCAATGCGGCTACTATGCCTACGTTGATTCAGATCTGATTATGACGGCATCATGAAATTACCACAACCCTAATATAGCACAGTATACCGTGCCCTGGGTTGGGACAGGTATAAGTATCTAAATTCAAACTTCCACATAGTTCTAGTATGCATTTTCAACGCGTTCAATCGACTTCATCTACTGCTCATATGCATCCGCAAGCCCGTCAATGAACCCTCCCTTAAGGTGCGTAGTGTCTGAATATGCTATCAGCACCCCCTGACCGTATTCATCCACATCAACAACAGAGATCGATGCATTCCAGCACTTGGTGTTGACCTTCACGTCTCCCGCATACTTGATTCTGCCGGTCAGCGCCAACCCTTCGATGAGTCTCGAAATATATCCTCCATGGGAGACAACCAAAGCGCAGGAAGGCTCGATTTGGCCTTTCCTCCCATCGGACTCGGACCTCATAGAGACAACGCGGGCTATGATCGTGTCGGTCCACCACCGTGCGGCGCGTAGAGTAAAGTCAGTTAAAGGTTCAATATTCGCGGGAGGCGATCCACGATTATCAAGCTTGTGTCCTTGCCAATCCCCTAAGTTCTGTAATGCCATCAGGACGATCTTTGAACAATTGGCCTGTGGGATAGCATACTCTCTCTCTCAACGCTACCTCCTTCTCCAGAACTACGCCCGGATGTGCCTGTAAGATAATCTCCGCCGTCTATTGGTACACACAGATTGTTGTCGCTTTGTTAGAGGCTGATTTAGAGGTAATTGACCAATGCGTACTGCACCTTTGCCGCTCTATCAAGATCGCTGCTGTATGCCTTGTCGAAAGGCACTCGTTCTAGTGCGCCCGCCGCGAGCTGGGCCTGTTTAACCCCCAGAGCATTGAGCTTGGTGTCGAGTTGGCCCTGCATAATCCCGAGTCTATTCTCTTCGGTCTCGCCATGGCGGACGATGTACACCCGTGCGATGATCATCGATGTCGCGAAGAAGACAGGTATACTGCGATGAAATACGACAGCCACTGGTGCCACAGTCGACCCTAACCCGGATCTGTTATATGGTGATTGCGGCGAGCATAAATACGAAAATGATTAATCCAAAGAGCACTGTATTCTTCGGATGCATAATGAGACGTCTCTAAACACAGATCAAAGCAAAAACAAAAAAAAAAGCCAATGCTACATCTTGCAATTCAACTTGGTGCCCACAAAATATCGTATGCTTATAATACCTCGATGTCCATGACCAAAGATCTAATCACAGAGTATCATCCAAATAACCACAAGCCCTTCTCGTTGAAAAAACGTCGGTCTACACAAAGTGTCGTCAAAGTCGTGTGTTTGGGTTCCTCATAGCAGCGTTACGACCTCTCCCGAGACATCTTTAATGCGATCTTCGGAGAACGTATTCGACAAGGCAGTTAAACACTGCTTACTCGCCTGAGATTGCGATGTATCAAGGCCATGACTATGCTGTTTGGCCTCATAAATCTGCGGCCTCATATGTCAACCAGAGCGGATGCACGACATTAGACCGCAACACTCACAATGTTACCCAATCCTACCAAGGCGCGGTATGCAGCTTCCGACTCGCTGTTCTCGCTTTTCAGGATCTAGTAGAGCCACAAAGGTTAGTACCACAGTATTACTGTGCTTACACAATGCCTCAGCCTACATGAATAGCCAGATTAAAAAGCAAAGATCTGATATCTGGATCTAGACCGTCCTTCAAGCCAACGCAGCTCAAGCTGTTGTACATGGTCAACTTCGTGAACGCCAAATTGAATATCTCCATGCTCACTTCAGCACGATCGTGGACAAAGCGACGCGAAGTGCCTTTGAAAGATCGGTATATGGCGCATTGCTTAATTCATTCAGTAGCTATCGGAAGCAATCATCATCCCTGGCAACACTTGTACTTTACGGATGCATACACACCTTTCTGACCCATACTACATCGCTAGCGTTTGTTTGCTGGAATGTGTTCGCTAGGGCACGAAACAAGAAAAGGACATTGGTTTCCCTCGTCCGTGGCAATGGGGTCTCCCATGGCTCGCTCCATAATGAAGCATTGAACATCGCAGTGTAGAATTTCTGCTTGAGCGTAGGGTTCTCGGAGTAGATGGGACAAAATGCAATCAGTAAGCGGCCGAGATCCATTACTGTAAAGGTATTGGGATTTGTTGAGTGAAGAGCTAGATACTGTGTCGCGACATACCAGGATACAAGGTTTCTCGAGGCCATCGTTCCAATAACTGAATGATGGCGTCAAGATGGCTGGCTTTGAGGGGATTCACGGTAGCGGGAGGATTCGTCCAATGTGCTAGACGCGATATAACCTGCGATAAATATGTGAAGGCTTCGTCGATTAGGCTGACTTCTTGCGGATACATCGACAGGGAGGACGTCGACTGAGAGGATAAGAATTATGGACAGGTACAAAAACTATCCTGATAGAAAATTATCACGCACAATCTCAGATCGTAATGATTCATTAATCTGATGCAGCTTGGTCTGCATTGCAGACACATTGGCTTGGCGAAATGACAGCGCATCCCGCTAGAAGCTGATATTGGAAAATCAATCGCAACATCATGGCACGACGCATACGCACCATAGGGACAACTTTAGATCGAGCACTGGTCATTGGCTGGGGAATGATTGGTGGTGAAGATGTCTGAGAGTAACGAGAAGCCCCAGTCCAAGGATCGCCAGGAGATATTGAAGATGGAGGAGGGTGGGTCGTACTTCCGGGAGCTCGGTACCTAGACGCACCTAATACAAGATCAGAAGAATGACATCCAGACTAGAGCGTTGTTACCAGTGAAGGGGTCCGCAAATTCCGAACCACCGCCCATCGATGCACTTTGCGCAGGCTGATACCTCGAGGCACCTGGGTCGCGTGTGAGGGGCATGTACGTGGACAAATAAAAATATCATTACCAGTAAAGGGATCAGCAAACTGGTTACCCCCGCCTCCAATGTTCACGCCGGATGTATTCTTCTCAATAAACCGCACAACCTCATCGAGATAGGTCATCGGAAGTTCCTGCTTTTGCAGAAAACGCTGTGCTGCCGTGTATGGATTTTCTAACAATACCACCAGTAAGCATGCGGATAGACGACGAGTGGCAGTCGAGTACCATCGACATTGTACGGCAATTTGAGCGGGGGCATGCCCTCTTGTACGTCAACATCGAAGACGTAGTCATATTCTTTGCCTTCGTAAAGCTGTTTCCGACCAGCGCCCACAGCGTCCACAACATTTCCGATTTTCTGCCAGCTTGAGGTCGCGCTATCCCACTATAGTAGCATTCGCAATGAGCACTAAAGCTGGTTAATTCTTCTGAATGAGGCGCACCTGGTGAGCCTCCACGCTTTCACCATTCCTTATCATCTTTACCTCCCCCGGCTTCTTGCCTGCACATATCCATCAGCCACCGGCTCAACCCAGTGTCGGCTAGCGATCAGCATACCTGGCTCCGACAGCACTTCCAAGCCAGGAAGGTCTGACTTCTTCACATCGCCTATCTGCTGTGCGGGCAGTGCCTGACTTGCAATCTGGTCCTCATAAGCTTTCAACTGATCACCAGGAAGGTATCGCGATTCCTCGGCGGTGAAAATGCGTACGACACCGTCGCTGCATCCAGTAACTATGTCACCATTCGGCATGGTCGAGACGGACCACACGGAAATGGCAGGGTGCACAAGCGTTTGGGCGCATTCGCCATCTAAAGTAAGGCGTTGACTATATGCGTATCAGCCGATAGTAAGGGCGACAAAGCGTACCCCTCCAGATGCGCACGGTGCGATCCTCGCCGCCCGATACGATGTCACCATTGGGGAGAACGGATAGACTATAGACGAACGATGTGTGGCCAGATAAGGTGTATACAACGTCGCCCTCCATCGTCCATATACGGATCTCGCTGTAATATGGACTTACCTCGGTGCGAACATGCATAGAGAACATGTCACTTACCTGTCATTTGAGCATGATGCAAAGCCAATGTCGGTGATCAACGCAAGCCCACGAACTGCTTGTGTATGCCCAGGGTATGTACGAACATTCTTGTGCTGATTCCACAATTTGATAGTGTTGTCGGCAGACCCTAGACGCGGTAGCACACCGGAGTCTAGACGTTAAGTACGAAGAATATTTTCAGACGTACCGGTGAGGAACTGCTTTCCATCTATTGTCAAGACTGCCCACACAGATTGCTGGTGTCCGACGAGATCGTATGCTAGCTCGAATTTTTTCCAAACTTTGGCAGTTCTACGCCGCCGCTGAACCAGATGCGAAAGGATACTATATTGGAGAAGAGCTTACCGATCCCACGATCCTGAAATAATCGTCCCATCGGAAGCAGTGTCCAGAGCACATACATTCTCTGAGTGACCGATTAACGAGTAGTTGGGCTCCCCTGTAGAATTCGCGAGCGAAAATATGTTGATGACTGTATCTTGTCCACCGGTGACCGCGCATCCTATTTTCTCGCGCAAGCAGGTCGATCCCCTTACTGAGCGGCAAGCCAGGCCGTCGAAACTGCTCACCTAACGGGGCGTCTGGAGACGGTGGAATGTACGCAATCGCGTTGATATAACGAGAGCCCGCACGGAGGACGGCGGATTGAGCGAATTCCGGACCGGAGTGTCTAGTCCATGAAATTGCAGTCGTGTCTCGGGAGGCGGAGAGGACAAGGTCGTTGGTTGGGGAGGATACAGCTCGCACCTGGAGAAAGTGAGCGAGAGAAACGGGTGAGGTATCAAAACGTACGGACATCAGCAGAGTGGGCTGTCAAAGTCGCGGAGAGTCTGTAAGGCATCGCTAGGGGGGAAGGGAAGCGACCGAGGGGAAAGAGACGAGGACGCTGGAAGAGAAGGAATATGGGCTGGGAAGAGCCGGGGACAACGACTTATTAGGCAGGGCGAATTGGGAGACAGCAAACTCAGAGTCTCAGCCCCAGAACATTCGATGGTCGACTCGAAATTACAGCATGACCATCTTGCATTCCACCTTCGAGAATCTGACAGTGGCTCTCAATTAATGCACATAACCTCCTCCGAGCCTGCAGCGACCGGCACACGCGCGCGACATGATCCAAATATCCTTCAACGCAGTATTTCATAGCACGACGAATAAAGTCTAAGTGCAATTCCGCAGACCAGGAAGGATGTACACCACTCTAACGAGCCCCGGACCCGTGCAACATCGGAACCAGGGAGATACGGAGGTGCGTTCTATGCCATGCACCATGCTTCATCTCCTGCGAGAGCCTCACGATGCAGTTCATCGCCCGTGGGTGTGCGGCACGACGAGTTGCCAAATCATGAGGGGATGCGGCACTGCGGCCGCCTTCTGTCATTTTATGTATCGTATTCCATTCAGGGCAGGCCCAGCCTGCGAGATCGTCGACCGATCCGGCTATCCTGTCCTCCATTTTTCCGATGTCCTCCATCCCGACCGACATCGCTCGTCTGGCCTAGCGTGAGGCCCGTTGCCCTCCTCTCGCCCGCTCTCTCCAACGAGGCAAGAGAGCTTGCAAAGTCAGATCGCACGCGCCAGTCCGCTCCAGCACCCTGACTTTAGACCGCGGTGGCGCTGTGCTGACCAGTCCCTGCAGTGTACAGAAGGTTGGGCCTATGTATGCGAAGATACGTATGGATAGTGTCCAATCATGAGAAGTTACTCGCGTTTTCAGTTTAGAATACCAATCCAGCGCTTGGAGACATCTGACACGACCAGGCTCGAAGGCGGCACCACCATGTTGTTGCGGTGAAATCTCTTGTTACATAGTCTCCCTTCCATGCTGTCACGGCCATCGCGACGACTACCGGTGAGCTGCGGAAATTTGACTGTCATCCTAATCTCTCGCGTGCGGTCAATTTCAGAGTATTTCTGCGGTCACGAACATTTCCCCTCTTCGTTGGCTGCTCGTTCTGCATGAGATGGGCGCCTTGACAATATTGGCCTACATTCGAGTCTCACTACTGCGGAGTTTTCTGCCAATTGTATACCGGCGAATTCTTCCCATGTCCTTCAGTTGCTGCCAGACGAGCTCGATATACCGTCAGGTCGTGTCAGGTCTAGTCAAACATCCAGACCTTCAAATTCATGACCTCACCACATGGGTGTGAGTATGACGCTGCTTCTGTAGGGCTTACACCCGAGGAAATTCATACCTGATTCGTTGGAAAAAAACAATAATTCATGATCGACGGCAGCTAGCTCATTGTGTTGTAGAGTGCACAAATCTGATCTGGATTTCTCCACAATGATGCGTCGTATTTCTGACACCGGCCAATCACTGACCAATCACTGACATAGACAGGTAGATAAGGCTTGCGGACACGGACACCATCTATAATGTAGGGCTGCGACGTGCCGGTGCTGTCATCTTATGCCAGACATAAGAATGTCACAGTGCGTTCCTGGTACGTTCTCATGATGTAATTATGGTGTAAACATGCGGTGTCTGTAAGTGTGCATTTTCAAACTGTTCAATGATTAACTGACAAGCTCTGTAACCGTGATTGGGGTTATATTCAACTGACCCTACGATATACGCCGTTATGAAGTTGGACCAAACGAAAAGTAAACAAAGTGGATACTCAACTTATCGCTACATCGGCAGGTGGGATATCTGCTCACAACACCATAACAGTAAGATAGCTATCGCTCTCTGACGCTCAACCAGAGCATCAAACTGCCTTCGCACTCACTCACTCACTGGCACGTATACCACGTCTCGACTGGACGACGAAGGAAGCAATCACAACGGCTAGTACGGTCTAGCCATTCTACATCACGTTCTCAATCGTCTCCGCCACTTTCCCTCTATGGAGCAAATGCTTCATCCCACGACACAGCAGATTCCAAGCCCATTCGTACGAAAGCATGAACATTTTGTCATCTGCATGATTATACATTACAAAGCGATCGTCATCGTGGTTGCGTTGGGATGATTGTACAATCAGAACATAACAACGTGTCTGGAAGATTCGATAATTACAAGCGCACGTCCAGAATCAAGAGCCAGATGGGAGTCCAGTGAAGAGAGCCCGAGGTGAAAATTGAGAATCTTGCTAGAAGCACAGTGTGATTTCAACTCAGTCGCCTAGATCGACCGCCGGCCCGAGAGAGATTTTGATCTTCTTGCTCAATCTCGACTTCACATGTGGTTGATCTGCCGTCTTGCGTTTGAGATTTCCTATCCCATGATTCTGGCCCAAGTCGTGCGGCGAAATAGGATTCTCCCGCAGTATGTCTTCTTGTGTTTGAGATTCGACCTGAGCATCGGTAAAATAAAATAAAATAAAAAACAGCGTGGGGATCCTCATCCACTCCCACCTGGTTATCGGATCTAGTCACCAACGGGATTGGTCGGATGTCGCTTTGTTGACTTCTGAAAGCGAGAGTCATATCAATAAGTTATGCTAAAGGATGGCATCATACGCATCAAGATCCATGTTCTCAGCCGCCTTTCGTTTGTGAAATTTACGACGCGGTTTCTGCAAGTCGTTAGAGTCAAAAAGAAAGGAATACTGTAAGCACAAACTAGGTCAGACAAGCCCAGCAGCCTCTTCTCTATCTCCGGATCCGGATCGAAGTACTCCTTGTATGCCTGGCTGCGAGTGGATGCTTGCAAGAACGCATACTTTAATTTTTGCACAGCTCTTCTTCGCTGCGACTGTCTTGTTTTAGCCCCAGCTCTCCCTTTGTTCTTCCCTCTGGCGAGACGGGTATCAGTCGTCATAAGGCCGAGATCGTCCATTTCCTTAGTCCCGGTGGTTATAAAACCTGATGTCAATCCACGATCCGTGATATGATGGGAATCGAAGAAATTATTACGTACTCTCAGCCTCAAGCCGCTTGAACAGTTGTCCAGCGACTACACAATCGCAGCCTGTAAAATATCTCAATATAGAAATCACGCTAGTAATGGCACTTAAATGACCGATGAGCTTCGCGAATGCGGATAGGCCATCGGGGTTATGAGTCTCGACAATTTTTATGGCCCTCCTAGCAGAAGCTACAATTGAGTCGTAAGCGATATGACGCAACGAATAGTGTTACCTGAAGATAGCCAAATCCTTGAATCTAGACATCATCCTGGGATAAAGATCATGGACCATAATTAAGTCCCAGTTCTGGTCTGCTTTTACCCGACAATCGAAGCAGGCGAAAGGTGCAGGGATACGTCGGTCCTTGGCTGAATGATAACCTATACACCTGATGACACGAAGTCGAGGTGCTTGAAAGTACGGTGACTATTGGCTCACCAGGTATGAAACATTCTCTTGCAACCGTCGCACGTCTTAGTATCGCAGTCATCGACCTGTATTTCCGACCTTGTAGTTTCACGAAATCGAGCAGAGATGTGAACGTACCGCCACACCGCACTCACAATCCAATATCTTCTCCTGAGAACCACCCGCTAGCGACTGAGACTGATGACCCTCTACACTAAAGAAAGAATGTATGGAGTCTTCTGTCGCCGACTGAACAATCTGAGTATTCATTTCTGTACGATTCTCCGTTTAGTACTTTGAGGAAGTGCCTGTGAGGCTTGACACTGACCTAACATATCGACATCGTCTTCCCTCATACAAGCATTTACAATGAGTTGTTTAACGAGTTGGGTTTCAAGTGTCCCTATATCTGCCTCATGACCAGAAGGAGGAAGCAACCCTGACTGTGCCGCAGGAGGGGTTAAAGACTCATTGGGCGAGATAGAGTCTTCGGTGTGTCGACGCCGGGATAGAGAACTGAATGGAGATAGCTCGCTTATTGGAGACTCGACGACTTGAGTGTACTCAAGCTGTTGTGTTTGCACCACGTGCGTCGAAGCGCAGGGTTTATCTCGAACCTGTGCAACGAACATCACATTCAGCAAGAATAACAAAATGAATTCCATACCAATTGCGCGATTCTCTTGGGGATGTTGTCCAATTCCCCAGCGTATTGTGCTTGTGCTATTGATTCGCAAGCATTATGTTGTGCTACCACTTCGAAATCTTCTGGAAATGATCTGACATCTCCATCCTCATCTCTGATTCCAATAGGAGCAAAATTTTCGACGCATGAATCTCCAACTCTACGATTTCCAACTAAAACACCAGCATTGGTGTCGTCTGAGTCTAACACCGACGAGACGCGGCATCGTAGTGAGAACTTGTCGACACACAGACAACTCGACTGACCTGGATTATAATCAGGGTCTTCTTCACCTTCTGCATCTTTGTCACACAGTCCCTCATCTCCGTCCCAAACAACCTGGCGTTCCAAAGCGTCAAGACGCTGTGTTTGTACTTGCTGTATCCTCATAGCCGCCTCTTCGGCTGGCGTAAGAGTGGGTGTCGTATGCGCGTGACCGCTGGTGGTGCCGGTGAATAGCGCATTGTTGTCCTCTGTCGAGGGCAAGTAGCCGGACACCGATGTGACGCGAACATTTACTCCGTGATGACCCGTTTGTAGAGTGCCAATACTGCACCGCTCTGGCACTTCATTTTTGTTGTGTGTTGTGAAGAACCATCTGTCCTTGACGACATCGCCGGGGCGGAAGTGTGGGGGCTCGTAATCATCTGGGGCATTATCATAATAAAAAAGCTTAAAGGTCGCGAATCGTCGTTCTAGAGCGACGCAGTGATAAGTGCCCGACGCAGAGGAGTCGTGCGTTTAGGATACTTACTGGGGAGGGCATCCATCTGCGTTGTAGCCTGAATCAAATTCTTTATCAAGGCCTACAGTAAATAGTCAGGACTTCTAAGACACTCTGACATCGAGAACACCAAAAAAGAGAATTACTTTCAGACTTCTTTTCACTTCACCAAGAGTAGGAACCCTTCCTTGTGTAGTTGCGGCCGATACTGGATCAGATACTTTCTTCGTTCCAGATATAGACATTCTTTGGAGGTCAGCATCCAACGACATAATTGGGACGGTAACGTCCGAGCCAGGAATCGGATGGTACTATTGAGTGGGAGCGCTCTGAGCGTAATGACTTTACAGAAGAGGTGGCATATACCTTGAAATTGAAAGTGTAGGCCTCCACAATGCTGCATATGATGTGCATAAGTCAGCAGACGCCTTCCAGGCACTATATGCGTCCATACTTGCTAGGGTCTTGATCATCCTATTGAGAACGAGCGTCAGTAAGTTACGTCAGGATAATGACATCACCGAATGATTTGACGTACGAGATATATAGCAAAGATGAAGCTGCGCAAATACTGCTTCTGTAAGGCATCAAATATACCGTTCTCCTAGGTATTGTAACAGAATTGATTAGAGACACGCGCGGCATTTAGGAAAATCGAACCAAGAAGTCCAGTAGTTTGTCCGCTTCTTCCGTGAAACCTCGTGTGACTGTCATGATCTTGAAGCCGCTGACATTCTGCTTGTTGTATTCCATCGAGAATGAGCGATTGGAGCCTATAGATGGTTGGGATGATAAGGATTCTGGTCCGGATGATGTCAAATAGCCTGAAGAAGATGGTCAGTAGAGCATCGACGATCGCTCGGGAGTACGTAGTACGTACTTTGCGAGAAGTTATCGGCCGGTAAGAGATTTCTGATAAATATATTAGCACGCGGTTTTGGACGCGCATATATGCGCGTTTTCTGTACCTCAAGTACGTGATGCAGCCGAGACCTGCTTTGAGGAGCGTTTGTATGGATTGCAAACTTTGCTGCGACGTCAACACTGCCTAAAGTTCTTTCAATACACAAATATGTTCTTTGTAGACGAACTAACTAACCTGGGTCTGATCTGTCCTAGAAGATTGAGCCTGCATGATTGTGTGAGGTAGAGGCCACAGCGCGAGCGAGCGAGGTGATCGAGGCGCATTCAAGCGGAGCTTTAAGCTTAGTTAAACTTCAAATACAAACGAGACGAGTCGAGACGCGTATGTTATGCATATCCGTCTACCATGGCTATCTGGGGTCTTTGGGTGAGGTCTTATACAGGCATATTGGCGAATTAACGGGTTGATAATTATAAAAAACAGGTGATTAACAAGGCTGGCGGTCTTGTCTATCAGCGTAGCTTCGGAGGTCTCTCGTCGTGAACTTGCCTATTGATGGGTCTAATTATCGAGATAGATGGACTTCCTCATCTAACCTCCAACGAGTACTTGGTTCTGGCAGGTACTCTCCATGGCATACATGCGATTACCAGTCGATTATCCCCTACCGGCTCGAGCTCTGGGGCGCAGGTAATATCGGGTGAGACGTTTAAGTTGACGATTCTCCTGACTGCGACAGGTGCGCTCAAGTGTTACTCCAGAGTATCCTAGATATACTGACTGTTTCTACGATAGGTACCAAGTTTGTCCTCCTTACATCCCTCGCCGAATCCACTGCAGAGTCTGTTCTGCAGAAGGCCTACGAGATATATGCAGACGCTGTCATGAAGAATCCATTCCACACACCAGAGATGCCTATCCGTAGTGAAGGCTTCGATAGCCGGATTACTGCATTGTTGGGCTGATAATTACGGGTTTCGGCAGCCAAGCAGTGTTATACGAGATACTAGTTTTAGTCTACATGAAGGGCTACACCCTGATTCGGTGACCTGTTTTGAAACGACCTTGGTTCGACCATGTCGCGGAGGTTCACGCGCCCGTCAATATTGATTGGCCAATGTTTGCACCCCTGTGTTGAGAACGGCCATTCGATCTGCTTGAACTGCAGTCCGAAATCGAAAAGGCATACATATGAATGAGCGGAAAGTAGTACTGCTTCTGCTTCTGTTCAAGCTGATTACCTGTCAACCTAGTAGAAATACCTAGCTAGCCGGTCCAAATTCCATTTTTCTCCTGTCTAACCACTGCCATACCATCTCGCAATGCCCGCAGCCCGAAAAAACAGCTCTGTGGGTGCGTCCTGGGTACTTAGATGTCGTGAAGCTGTACTGAGAGCGAGATAGTCATGCCTGTGACTAAAGCCATTCAATCTCGGCAGCCGGCGTTCTCTTCAGTCACATTCCGTAGTGCAGCTGAACAAGACCCAGACCTATCAGATGCAGGCGAAGATAACGCTGAATATGGGGGGACAATAGGCGACGATGATAAGTGAGCATGCCATGTTCGCGCATATATAGCTAGCGCTGACGTAGAGCTTGCGATGCCGTACTAGTGGTATGCTCGAGATGCTGAACATGCTGCAAGAGTTTCAGAGTAGGTGGATTTCATTGTTACATTGCATTTAGCTTGTGTAAGAACATGTCTATACCGTATTATTCAGAACGCAAGGCCTCAAAGACGTCGACGCGGTCAGCTGTATTCCAAAACAAGAAAAATGCACTCATCGCCGATGCTCGTAAGAATACGGAGACTATTGTACGAGAAGGGGTTCTATATATGCACGAGAGCTTCCATGCTTCTGTCACGACACGAACTCATACTGGGATCCTGTTGGACAGAAACCAGTTTTCCACCATGATAGCTGAGCTGAAGGCGCAAGAGAACTCGCCAGATCTTAACGGCCTGTCGCAGCTATGGGAGAGTCAAAATGTACAAGTTTAGCTATACGTGTCACCCACGACGAATCTAATCAACGCACCTTCATGCAACAGGATCTTGTAAATGATCTCCTGGGTATGTACCCGTCACTCATAGACAACCTCTCGCACAGGCGTGCCGACCAGATCGATGGCACAAGCGCAATGCGTACGTGGATCAACCACCATTAAAGATATTCAAATCAGCTACTGACAGTGGCGCAGTGGAAGCACATGTCGCAGAGCGTCAAAACTCTCGTCGCAGACTCATCCTCAACGCCAAGGGACGTATGGACGAAAATATAGAACGACAAAAGGTTATCACCTCGGTATATGTCAGCACCAGTCCTACTCATCATTGTGTTAATTAGCTCGCTACCGACGCAGCCGCTCTCATTAAGCATTTCAAGGCCCTCCTTCTTTCCTGAGGCTCTGTTGCAAGTCTCAGAGACTACCCTCAAGATATCTCCGTTCGAGTACCTGTAGATGAGTGACGCTCTGCACGTCATGATGTGCAGTGTATTGAGGCGTTAGTGCATGTTGCCTCCATCCAACGTCATTGTCACTCCAAACAGAGGTATAATGATAATCTGCAAATTATAGATAGCAGAGCTCTTATATCTATGAGCATAGATGGAGATCAATTGCTCAAAGCGGGGTCTTTATGAAGCCCATATGTCCGAGAACTACTGAGTAATAGTCAAGGATTGATATCAAAAGCATAGCGATATGACCTCACAAGTTCATCGACAGGCCGCCACATATCCTGAGCCTCGCCCTCACGAGATGATCGCACCAAGGAAGTTTCTGGATGGAGCCCAAGATATTCGCTCATGAAAATACGTAAGATGAGATTCCAACGACGCATCGTAGGGATATCCAGAGCAGTAGCATCATCCTACGTTCCAAATGAGCCTAGCAGAACGCCACACTGAATAGTATCGGAAATACCTTTAATGTATGCCAAACTGAGGGGAACGGGCTTGAGATGACGTGCAACACGCTTACGCCGAGATGCAAGAAAGGGACATGGTCGTCCTCGATTCCGCCTTGGTTGAACAAGTTACCGCGCGGGACGAAAAAGCTCTTCCATTTCCCCGCTGCTTGACTCTGGTCGTTGTTATAGACGAATGCACCACTCTCTCCGAGCCGGTGTTCGGCTGACGCCATTGCATCGAAGAGCCACGCAGTGTCGAGGAACGATGAATGTATTCGCGGGTTTGGCGCGCCCAGGAGGTCAAGGAGGATAAGATGTTCCACCGTTGAAAGTTCGGTCATCGATCCAGGCAGAAGCCTCCGCTTGGTATGGGGGGCGATGTAAGACGTGAACCACTTCTTCGCAAGATGTCTGCCCCAGTGAATACACACTATCTCTGTTGAGTACAAACGCTAAGTACCTTGCACCATAAACGGAGTCCTTAGCGGTCCAGACTTTGAACGCCTCCTCGCCATCGAAGAACACAAGCTGCAGGGTGGTTTCGGCTACGTCGTCGTCGTCCTCTTCCCCATTCTCTAATTGCTGCTGTCGCTTATCAAGTAGCGGATTAAGGGCTTCTGCGAGGTCGAGCATGAATGCACATGGTGCTGCAGAGTCTGTCGCACCTACAAACTACTGCCCTTGTCGTAAGAGAACTGGTCTGTGAGCAAGAGTGTGATCAACACGCACCTGGTTGTGGGGGTAAGTGGGAAAGAACTTGCTATCGTAATGAGCAGATAGAATAACTCTTCGAGGAGCAGACGGATCTTTGGTTGCGATGACGTTCGTAAAACGTTTCGTTCCGTAAGGAGTGTCGTCTGTGAATGCGTCCTCTTCGACATGCCAGTTAAGACTCTTGAGCGTCGATACAATGTAGTCTTTCACGATCGTATTGTTCTCTGTGTCGGGCGACCTTGGAATGAGAATCTTAGACAAATGTGATGATGGGTTTGAGGGATCAATATTGCGAACAGGATCTGGCGACGACACTAAAGTAGAAATCGCGTTGGGTGATAGCTGCCTAAATTCACGGGGTCCAAGTTTGAAGGCCTCGCTCCGCGGCCAACTCGTCACAGAAACGCAAAGCAAGACAACGAGGCAGAGCGATAAATAACGAGATCGTGGCTGAGGACTTGCCATCGACAAAGACCGTGAAGTCGACCAAGTGGGTCCGACGTATTATGTAGACGCGGCCCCTGCGGCGGCGCAAGCTACAGCGCTAAACTCAAGTAATCTGTCCCGATTTTCAGGTTGCAGAAGCGCGTCACCATGACAGTACCATTCAGTCTGAGCTGAGTCGTTGCAACTCAAATACGGCCTACCAGAGAAGTCCCAATTGAAGGATAGACGTATTGTATACAGTTGATATATTTACGTGACATGTACAAGAAAGATGAAACGATAGACGACAGGAATGTGAACGCAACCGTAAGCCGAGGGGTCATACCGCTATCCCGCCCGGTGTCAACTGCTCCAGGATTTGAAAGATGATTCGAAGGGCTATAAGGCCAAAGCTCTGAGCACCAAAATTGGCCTTATTTCGAACACTAAAGTCCCATGCCAGCCAAGATTGAGACAAGCTATATCGAAGCTCGCCAGCTGACAGATTGTCGGTATATTTATATAGCTTCTCACCAATATGGCGTGCCAACGTCGCAGAATGAAGCCGCATGCGATAGGTGCGGTCTGTCCTCCATCGCGTCTGGGTGCACTTTGCAAGAATTGTACCCACTACGACCTCCTCTTCTACTAGGCGCACATCGGATGCATCTGAGAGCGCATGGGTTATACAGATATACCGCAACTCATCGGTGTATCTCTGGAAGAGCTTGGTCATCTCTGCAACGTGTTCATCCTGATTGAAAAAGTAATGCAGTTGATCCTGAATGTAGTGTCTAAGCGCTTTCGATATCGGGTCCGACAAAGGCTTTGGTTTGGAGGCCGTCCCATTCATGAATTCCGCAGGGGATACGAGTGATGGGTCCACGATTGCGATATTACGAAACAAGTCGCCTAATGCACGATGAGATTCATAGTAATCAGTGTGACGAGGTGCGGCGTCTTCTGCCTGCGGAAAGGTGTAAGGTATCATTCACCCGTCTGCTCTATAACGTACCTGATGCCAGTCAGGTTTGTAAGGAATCAACCAGTGGGGCGAATCATGGATGTCTACAGGAATACCATTCTTCGGGTAATCGACGGCTTGGCTGCAGAGTTCGGCGAGGCTCAAACATTTCGTATCGTTGGTTCCGTGCTAATACATCCTCGTCAGTATGAATGTTTTGCAAAGCGCATTGAGTGGCATTTTACCTTAGATTGATCTATAAGGCATGATTGTTAGCTAGACACTCATAACACCGCTAGACAATGCACGTACCTGCTATAATGAGATGCCGATCGGAGAGTAAGCCCTAAGAGGGGAAAAATGTTGGTAAGTCCTGCGTTATATCTTCGTGTCAGATTTGCTCACTAGGACATCCGAATTGAGATATTCCACTACGAAATCACAAATATCTGCGATTGTACTGTCTCGATCAAGGGTACGCGTTCCTGCCGATAAATAAGATGCCGGATCTTCGTGCTCCGTGGGAAGCAGCGGTCCATGCTTTATAATAGAATATAGATCCCTGGGCGAGAGATGAACACTGAGTGACACCACGTCAAGCGTACATGCTGGCGCGCATACCCGTCCAAATCACCTCCTCCAAGGCAAGATGCCAAAGACCGACCACCTTCGGATAGATAGGGCCATAAGAGCTCATGTCGTGTAACATAGACAGATATCACTCACCTGCAGAAGGAAGTACGACCACGTTCTTCAAATTGCGGAAGAAGCACACTTTGTCCGGCGGTGGCGACCCAATAGCCCAAACTCGCTGGACTTAACTTATACTCAGCAGGAAGCTTCGTGACATATGGATTCTGATTTACCATCTCCAGGATGGACAACTGGGCTTCTCGATATCACAACAGACCCTAATACACAGCGGCAATCAGCACTGCGTGTTTTTGAAGAATCAAGATACTTATACCTTTGAGATACGTCGGCTCCGGATCATCCGCGTTTTGAACACAAGCTAATATAATCAATAAACGTTACGAGATATATTGGCTGAGCGCTCACCGAATATTTCACCCTTCTTGAGGCAAAAGACATTCTCCATACCAGCATGCACGTAGGCTGGACCTTCATCTGCAACACCCACCAAAAGGTAGCTGTCTGGAATAGGGATGCGTGCGCCGTGCTTGATGTCACGTAAAACGTGATTCTTGGAATAGTGTATGAGACGTTCGATAAATGGATCCTGGAGTACGTGAATAGACTTTTCATGCTTAAAGCCCATACCGATATTCTGAAGGGACTGAAGAATGAAGTCAAGCCCGTAACTCTTGCCCAGCGTGTGTGCCTTTAGCATGGACACAGACTTAGTTATCGAATCACTAGCTGTATATATGTCAGTTTTTGCGCGTTCCTGGAGGTTAATAAATGCTTTTTTGTCGACACCGCGATCTTCCAGAATCATGATGAGGGGGCTGGATACATAGTGAACATCAAACTGTGAAACTTTGTGTTTATTACTCACCGATTGAGGTACGAAGTACCAGGACGCTCGAACGCTCGCGCTATCTCAATCTCTGCGAGGTCGTCATCATGCGCCCTGAACTTGTTCATCGACGGCCTGAGATGCATCTTGATGCCTTGCAGCTGTTCGTCTATGACAACCATTCCTTTGTAGCCTGTTTGGTCGTTAAGCAATGCAGACATCGTGTGACACGTGTTGCAACGCACCTAAAAAACGAATTTGATACTGCGCAGTAGTGGGTAACGAGAAAATGATATACACGTGCAACTTCAACACGTACTGCGGATGGTTTGAGGCCTCGCCGTCGATTTTCAGGGCGAGATGCACACAAGGCATCCCAGATTAGATTACCCAGTTCTGTAGAAATAGTGCCCACGCCATCCGTAAATTCGTACGGCTTCTCGCCCAGGTCCGGCATCTCTTCCCATTGACCTCGAGTAATTCTGACAGAGGGATCCGTTGCTGTAAAGGCCTGCGCCAGTCGCGCGGCATACTTCGATGGTTGCCTGATAACCCCAGAGAAATCGCCTAAGGAGTCTCGGATCGTCTGCGCCGTGATGTGACCTTCTTCAGGATGATAAAACGGGTTGATAAACCATACAGCATGCTCGCGTAGGGCTGACTGAGAGTAAGCAAGAAATTCGAAGTAACGGCCGGCAAGCTCGAATCCGCTCCTTAAAACTCCACCAACTCGATCAAATAATAGAGAGCTTCCATCGACCTGAAATAGTTAGTACTTAGAAGTCTATCGAAGGAGGATAGGCAACAAACCTCGCGAGCCCAGCGGTATTGAAGTCGATCCTCATCCCTGAAGTCCACACGCAGGAAATGATCCTGATGGTCTGGATATCGGCGAATGACGCGGTTGGACTGGCTCACATACGGTCCTTCAAGGATCATCCGTGTCGGTGTGTAAGTGACATGATGACAGAGGAAATGTCCAGGAGGGAGTGGGATAGGAGGCTCCATGCCGCGTAGCTGTACGCGCTTGAAACAATCCAAAGGGCTCTCCTGAGGGTCCCTGGAGCGTAGTGCTTCAGTGAAATACCGCAGTATCTCGCCAGCGACTTGACGATAGTTCTCGTACACGTCATTGATCGGTTTGTACAACGTTGTCAAGAGATCCTCCGTAGTGAGGAGAGCATTGTGGAGGAGCGCCTCAAGCTGAAATGCAACAGACCAGTCAAATGAACGTACCCATGTACGGAAGGTACTAAGTTTCTTCCGCGTAAAGAACCCACGGTTGAAGGACTCTACATTAGCCCAAACAGGAGGCTGAACACCCGCCACTTTGCAGAGGTCCGCAAAGTGGCGAATATCCCGCTCCTCGTGAAGGATTATGCGCATCTGATGGGCGTAGGGAGCCACAACAGCATGAGCTTCATTGAGGCTACTAAGCCTTTGACGGAACTTGCGCATGTCACTCCAGTCTTTTCCCGTCAGTTCTCTGTTGATCCGCTGGCGCTCTAACATCGGCGGTGTTAGTAGGTCAAAACAGATGACTGCGTGCAAGATTAAGTGTCACAACGACAGCGAGCAATAGCAGAACTGACACGGGTTCCCGAAATCAAGCCCAATAGCCATTCTCCGTATGTTCGCAAATGTTACAGCAATATTATGAGCAATCTCTTCTGTCATCGTATTCCCCATCTGATGAAATATGGGCAGGCATCATTCGAAACAATCGTTAGTCATATATTTCGGTAAACACATGTACACTGACCTGGATACGAATCAACTTATGGTCGTACTCAAACCACAAGATGCCTGCCCCCTGTCTGACGTGGCTAATCTCATACTCATTGGAGAACTCTCGCGAGACCCCTCGCTGACTTCCCTCACGACGGTAGAAAACCCCAAATTGGATCTTGTCGATATGAAAGCTGACCTCCAACTTGCGTAGCTTGTCTTCTCTTTCTTCCTCAATTTCCGGATCAAGATACGGTGCTTTGTCTAGTATTTGTGTTAAAGCGAGCGGCGGTTTATGTTTACCTCGGAAAAAGCGTATCTTGCGATCATGGAGAAGTACCGAATTACCGTCACCACGCAACCAACGTAGAAATTTGTCGCCAATCTTGCGAGAACCCAACGTCATAGTTCCCGTTCCATTATTTTGCACGCCTCCATGGCCCGGATTCAGGGTAATTTTGAAATTACTGCCACCAAGAATAAAAGATGTTGAACCCTGTTGGTCCGCCTATTGAGCAATAATAACTTACGCTGGACGGTCCTTAGGGTCTGTGGGGTTGAAAAAATTATCGCTGTGAAGAACCTTTCCGATTGCGCGTTTGACATCCCATTCATTTGCTGTGAAGGAGACATCAGCGAGTTCAACCTCCATCGTAGCGACGAATCAATGGGGCACGAGTATATCCTGGGTGAAGCAAGATGTAGGAAAGTTATCCTAGGTGGGAAGAGTCAGAGGTTTGTATTTATGGACTGCAGGACGAAGCTGTGCTCGAGGGTCAAGCACCTAAAACCATTGCTTTGTTCCCTCCATCCGAGTCGTGGCCCCACCGCTGTACATGTGGCGTGGACGCCGGCGTCTTGAGGCCTCACCGTGGGCAATTGACAAAGTTCGGCGGTTGAACCCGGTCAAACCTACGTCGGAAACTTTGGCTGCGAGAGATCGCATTTCCCTGCAACGTTCGAAGCACAATCACTCGGCCAGACATGCAAAAAACATAGTAAGTGGACCCATCAGAGGCTACTAAATCCGCCATGTCCTGTGTCCGAATGTGATACATATTCAATGCTCGAACTTCTCAGAGAATTGAGTGACAATGCAATCTCTTTTAGTGCATGTCCAGCACGTGCTCGACAGCCGGACACCGCGTTTTGCCCACAGTGGCTAGGGACATCTCAATAAATCTAATTGGTTTGCCTGGCTTCGCTTGTTTATGCAAAACTAGGCGGCAACTGGCACCAACCTGCTCGCATTACAAAAACATACAGTACTGATTTCGCTTCGTGATTCTGATTCTGGCAGTGACCGTGCATATTAATCACATAGCAATCAAAGAGCGGAATACACGTGATCGGAGTTGTGATTATATGTAGTAGGGATTATCGAGTATACTGATACTAATAACGTTCAGAGTTACTTGTAAGGTATCCCTTGTACGAAAATCAGCAGCATTCAAAAACCCAAACGCAATCAGACTTTACCATTTTGAAGCTGTGCAAATTGTTCAACAATCAGTTTCGCATGGACAAAAAGCAGGCAGTGTAGCTTACTCTCTGGAACTCATCGTACGCTGTGCTGCGAACGTTTTCATGAGCGTTTCGGATGATGGCCATCATCCATTCCGCAGCTTGACGCTCGTTAAGCCCAAGCGCAAAGCGATCCCTGAGCCGCTTCATCGTAGGTTCTCCTTTGAACGACGGCAGTTGCGTGTCAAGCATCATCTGTACTGTACCAACTAATTGATCCGCATGAGGTCTTATAGCGAGGAAGGCCTTGACCGTAAGCTGTTGGAATAGCTGATATCCTTGGGAGTTCCGACCTCCCATCAGAACTACCATTTCGTGGGTCAGTTTGAATGAATTTGGCTCGAACTTGACACCCTGCGAAAAAATTCAGCATAATATAAACGTGAATCCTCCTGTGGCACCTACTCCAGGGCGTGAATCCACGCAGGAAAAAGGTAAGCATAGAGAAAAAGGATTTTGTGGGTTAAACACTCATCTATGTCGAACAGGAATCCAAAGTCTATGATGCGGCGTTAGACGGGGAAGCTCAGTAATCACGAAACATTTACCGATATGAACTATATGTCCTTCACCGTCGATCATTATGTTTCCATTGTGTCTATCCTTCACCTGGAGAATGTAACACACAACGGAATATGCGGCCATCGAGTGGATGAAATTCTGTCGCGCTTTTTGAAAGTCAATTGTATCCTCTCCGCCGTACTTCGCGATGAAGAAATCAAGCAAATCATTGACTTTTGCTCTCCCCATTTCGTCACGAGAGGTCGCGTTTGGAACGACATCGATGACACCGCACTGTAAGAACCGACATCAAATGGTGTTTTAATCATATATGAAGTTACGAACTCCAGGAGCGGTGGCCGTTACTCGGTACGGATATAAATAAAGAGTCAGGCCAACGCTGGTAAATATGTTTTTGAACATAGCAATGACTTGTAAGGCGAGGACGTCTTGTCGGCAGTCGTCTCCGACTTTGAAAATGGCCTGTTGCCAGACGTCATACTCGACCTTGGCAATCTCCTGTCCCTGGGTCTCCGTGATACCTTCCGAATCAATTGCTAGTTCAACACGCTCTTTGCGGACCTTGAAGGTAGCCATGAACGGTGCCTACTCGACATAAGAGTAAATCGATTTTGATCAGTGGGCGCATATATATTGGAATAAACTAGACCTTGGCATGGCTTTGTAGCGGTCTACCAGACTTCTTGTCGATGTCGATAACCACCCCATCTGGGTTGCTAGGGAGATATACTCCAATTTCCACGCGAATTTTGGCCATTTCTTCATCAATCTTTGCCTGTGATGCTACCCATGAGCAAGGGTAGACAAACAGGAGTAGATAAACTTATGCAATCTTTACCTTCTTTTCGGGTTTTGTCTTCTTGATATAGGGCTTAAGCTTACCCGAAATTGAAGTTACTTCGTTGAAGAACGTGAATTCACGATCATAGAATGTTCGAGCTTCACCAGAGAGGGTGTCTACAACCCGCCTTGTCATATCATCCAAAATTGGTTTCATTGGATCTTCCTACGATAGTGCTCAGACAGGTGATTGGGAAATATCAAGGGTGGACTTACAACGTCATCCCCGTCATCTTTATAACAATTTGCCTTCATATTCCAGATGATTTGGTGACAAAAAAGCTGAGATATTTTTGCCGTCTCGAAGATGAAGCGTTGAACATAGCCTGAACTAATGTAGGTCAATATAATAATCAATTCGGATAGTGCTTACCCAATACGTCGTGTCGCAGTGCTTGAACAATTTGAGGGACAAAGAAAAAAGTCAATTCGACTGGATGTTGTTCCAGAACACGATGCGCATATTGCAAGAGTACGGCATCATTGTTATAGCGTCGTTCAAAGAAATTTGCAGCCACGATAGGGGGTACAGGATCCCAAAGCAAGATGTACTAGATCAGACATAAATAATCAATCGGGACCAAAATGTGAGCCCTTCACCTTCAAGTCTCGCCGAACCATTAGATCGGGCTTGCTGCCAATCAAATAGGGCAGAGCTTCTGGGATATGCAAAGCGTCAAGAGTGCTGGAGCGCACCAATCGTCCTACTTCACTACCGACGATTGGATGATTGAAGCGTTCCGTAAAATACACAGCGATGGCAGGATCAAGCTCCCAAGTTTTTTGGACAGCGCTGATCCAGGAGCTCTAAGAAACGTGAACTTTGAAGCCGTTTGGACAGAAATCAGGTACGCACGTCCAATATGGTTTTCTCTAAGGAGGCTATGTGGTCAGCGCCCCGCGTGGAATCATTAACTGGATTCGACCACACTGTCAATCTAGAAATTTCATTCTCCACGAGCAGCCGCAGGGGAATATTGAAGTTCTTAAGGGATATCACGTACTCTTCACGGAATTGCATTAGATGTCAAATGATGCACAAAACTTTATCACGTACGGGGAACCTGCGATAGAGATTGAACAGGATTCAGGCTAGAAATGGCTGGGAAGCCTTTAATACTATCGGCTTGCAAGTAATCCAAGAATTCAGAGAGCAGTTTGATATCCGCATCGATCTGTACGCGATTTGAACCATATGACCATCTGAAAGGCTATGTGAGAACGAGTCCCTATTTATGGGTCGTGACTCAGACATACTGTGGACGCGTGCTGAACCATGAAAACGCAGTCCGATAGAGCCCATAGCGGAGTTGATGCTCGCAAAAAGTATCTAAGTTGGAGCTCTTGAGAGTTTCAAAACCAAAGAGCAGGAAGGAGAAGCGGGCTTCGCGAGCGAGAGGGTGGGTACTGCACGACAGTTAGTCGGCGAAACTATATTTCTTGCATTTACGAACCTCAACGAAGAGTGAGCTCGAGCCGACACCAAAGCCAGTCGTTGAATCAGGAACATCAAGCCAGGTCTACGGTACCTTGCAGCCTGCATCCTGCTGAAAAATAGCTGCAAGACCAACACATGGGGCGCTAGAAGTCGACGGGCACCCGCTATGCCCCTATCAATGATGGTCTTATCCGTCGGGTTGTATTCGACTACATGTAAAAAGGGATCTACGTAGCTATCATGTCCATTTCACGTAAGCATCAATTTTCAGATAAAGTAATGAGCAGGACGTACTTCAGCGCTCGAGAGAATAGACCTTTCTCGTGTTTGATGGTGAGAGACCACGCCGAGCCGATTTCGGACATGAGCGCCATCTCATAATCCGGTTTTTCCGCAATAACCCATGACCATGTCTCAATACCTGCTGAAACAGCGGAAGGAGTAAATGCCTCGAACGGTAGAGCAACCAGACAGTGTAGCAGGTCATAGTCATACTGTGAAATATTTTTAGAAGGGTTAACTCACGCCGTTCGAAGCTTACCTTGTCCACAAATATCAGGGTCCCAGCACAACGAAAAAGGAGACGCTTAAGGTCTCGAATGGACATGGATCTCTTCTTTTCTCTTATGTCATTGATGGCCTCGTAAATTTGATCCTTAAGCCCGTCAATTTCGGTGACGGGGACAAATTCAGTTCCAAGCACACTCCCCCCTGGAGTTGCTGGTAGGGATGAGCCACATAATAGAGAGCAAAAAGATGAAAGTGGCCTACCATAAGAGCGCCCGAACCTGAATCCATTTACTTCACCAGCGAAGTACCCTTTAGACGCAATCTGGCTGGCCAAGACTTTCGCGCGATCTGGCTTCCAGGTTGACAGGCCAGAAAGGGACGCTATAGGAGGGATGAACGCAGTTCACATTGACTACAAAATCACTTACTAAGCTTGCGATCAATCGGTCCAATTGTCTTGCCATACTCCAATGCAATAGACGCGCCAAGTTCGGATGAGTCTGCGACAGAAAATACTTGATTGACGGCGAGATATTTCTAATGGAGAACGTCGGAAAACAAGGGTTATAACAGTGTTGATGTCTTACCTGCAGTGTAGAATGTAATTCTACAGGAGCACGTCCCAGAGCGAGCTCAAACCAGTTCCTGGCATCTCGGTGCAACTGAGACAACATATCATTACGTGCTTGGTAGCTATCAGGCAACTGAAGGGTCAATTGAGCTCTCTCAGAATGGTACTGATATGTTGGATTGTCCTGAATTGCATCCAGCTGTGAGAAGACTGTAGACAGCAGACAAAGAGCTATGACATACTTCATCGATGAACTCGTTCTCACAGGCGCGACGTAAAAGAGTTAAAACTTCAAGAATAGCAAATACCAATGGTGGATCGCACATCAGCGACGGAAAAGACGTGATGAGTCGGTTCAGATATTTTGAGGCAATTTCCCTTGCTTTTGTGATACGATGGGTACTACCGACTAGCAGTGATCGCAACTCTGAGGGTAATTGCTCTGGAAGTGCTTGTTGAGCTGCTTGGCCATTCAAGTCCATGATACAACTACGGATGACCTAGTGGAAAATCATGACGCGTCTGACACAAAACTAAGTTGAACATTTGTTACCTTCTCCGCAACCGACTCCATACATGCATGCAGTCCTGCATTCTTGTTTAATCCATTGTTGACGAAAAACGTCTCTAGTGATGACGGCAGCCCGGCAGCGGAGCGCATGCTCTCTACGTCGTGCATACAAAGCAAAAAGATCACTTGTCCTGGTAATAGATATCGAACCTCGCTGGAACGGACGGGAATATGCTTCGTCAGTAGAGTACGGTGCCTCGAGATTATCTAGACTTCCAGTTAACGCATACTTAACTCAATATCAAGAAAATGCTGACCGTTTCGATATATTCCTGTCGAATAACGGTATTATATTCCAAGTCGCTGACAATAGTATCATGTGCTTCTTCCAACACAATTGCAGGAGTTTTAACAGCAATTCGAGCTAAAGCTGGCTGCTGCCAATCTGTGGCCGATTGGTGCTTTAAATCTCCGGGAACTGTGAACTGGAAAAGAATGCAGAGGAACCACATATTGCGAAAGAGTGTCACGAGGTCGGACGATGCATCAGCAAGCTTCAGATCAAGATGATATAGAAGCGCATCGATGGGCAATAGCAGAGAACCCAACTGCTCAACCATGTCTTCCATCTGAAACACGTCAACATGGAGACTATGTGGCTAGATTAGAGACTCACTTTAGCATGATGATTAGAAATGGCGACATTTTGAATAGCAACTCCCTTATCAGCGAAAAGTGTCAACAATTCACGTAAGTAAAGCTCGTAAAATTCGGGCCTGCGATTCAACTCCCGAGCCAACCTCGTTTGAGCAGCTAAAACCTGACAACAGGTATGATAGAAGTAAAATGGGCGCATAGAACATGCACTAACACACCTGGTTATTGGAGAATCTTGGATCATCCATATTGGCCGACCTATTAATGGCAGAGAAGGCACGAATGATGTCGACGAATGAACTTTCAGGGGCTATCAAGGCCAAATCGACAAGATTGTATGCAATAGCAGCTTCAACTGTGGGCTCCGCGGCACGTAATCGTTGTAGAAGCATGGATATTGTAAGTTTAGTTGCCTATCCATCGATATATCAGCGATCCTAAGTCCAAATAGCAAAATTTACCTCCTCCTCACGAAACTCTAGGGCCAACCTGGTGGCAATCGATATACTGCTGATTCCAACCGTTCTCTTTTCGTCTTCCGACAAGCCTCGCAATCCATTTTCAACCAAATGGAGATTGGAGGTGTCCGTAGAGTCGATTATGGACGACGCGATTGAAATCGTTCCTTCGTAGGTGTCTTTACTGGTGGCGGCAATGTAATTGAGAAGAGAGTACATATACGACATGACCTGATCGTCCCCTGGAGCCAACTACGAAGAAATCAGATGCATGCGGTCAATGGATATAGACCAAACGCACATTAATGCAGAGCGCGAGACATTTGGCTGCTGCAACAAGTGGGGGAGGGGTCCGTGTGCCAGATACAAACTCGAACTCAAATATAGACAGCGGCGAAGTTACCCAGCGGCGAAGATGACCTGCCATCTCCATTGCGATTTCTGGAAAGCTATCATCACGGTAAGAGTGCGACCATGCCTGCTGAAAAGTACACAAACTTGCGAACTAAAATTGCGGTTGACTTCAATGCCGCTTCTCGTACCAGGTTATCACACATAGATGATTCAACGCCAAGGAGCAGCTTCAACCTATTGAAAAGACTTTTGTCGAGTTCTCCTAATGCTGCTGAACACACTGCAGCCAGCTTCTACACTCGTTTCTCTGCATTAGACTGACAAGCCAAAACGAGAAAAGGACTGCACGCACTAAGCTCTCCGACATCGTTTCCCAGGCATAGCTATCTTCGGACGGCTCAGCATCCATTTCTTCAACTTGCGCGAGGAGATCGGAGAACGAGTCTTTCGCATGCTCCAACGTAGACTTCAATACTCCCCCATAGCTATCATTAGGATTGACCGAGCCCGCAATGGAGTTTCGCAAAAGCGTTTGCCAAACTTTGTTGGCCGCCGCGGCCTCCGTGAACTTGGGATATGCCGTGTTCAATGGTTCGTTCCGAGGGCATACAGCTTGTGCGAGAACTGTCCATTGAGCTTCCGTTACGCAACACACGATGAAATAACCACTCAGAGGTCTTCCACGAGAAACGTAGCGAGTGAAAAGAGTCTGGATGTACTGTATCTGATCGGTACCGTCCCCATGGCTTGGGGCTATGTCGACAAGTAACCTATTGAGGCGATCGACGACGTCCGCGGCAAATAAAGCATTAAGATGTTCTGACAGCAGTGACCATTCATGTACAGACCAATCAAACGGAATCGAAATGATGGCTCGGTAAAATCCATGAAAAGATGGCGCAAACTGCGTGAGTACGCTAGTCGCTATTGAATTGTCAGACTGCACGCCCTTTTTCCCGTACTATCGCACTCACGAGCACCCCGCTGAAGCATGCGCACGATCTCTCCTGTGAACTTCCTTATTGCACTGATTGCACCCATTCTGTGTTTAGTATGAGAGTTCGCAATCCGAAGCAGCGCAGAGACAGTAGCGAATACGAGCTGATCCGGCAGCGCCCATTCTGAACAAGGGTCAGCATAGGTTGAGTAATGTATACAGGTAGACGCATACCGTCCCAGAATAGACACTGGTCGAAGTCAATGTAAGGAATGTCCCGTAATATATCAACGAGTATGGGGACTGTCTGGTCAACGTGGGCGTCTGATAAGTTTACTGCGAGCTCCGCGAATCCTATGTTGCACTGAATCCTGGAGTTGGGCTATATGCCGATAAACAAGTCCGACGAATGCAAGGGAGAACGAGACTCACAACAAAAACTCGTTCATCCTCGACCTGACCCAACCTCTCAGTGTCATCCAAAACTCGCGTCTCAACCTTTGAGGCCACCAGGTCAATAGTAGATAAGAAATCTGGGTTTTCAGCCTCATGCTTTGATTCACCGATATTTGAGGCCAGGTCAGTCAAGATAAGCTGATAGATGTTCAATTCAAGACTGCGAAGAATTGAGCTCCTCGCGTCATGCGTCCAGGGTCCAGGCAACTCACCAGTCCATTGCGTACCAAAAATCTTCTTATGATTGGTCAATGTGACAGCGCGCCCTCAGGGTTCCTCCTCCAAGTAAGTACTCAGCGAGAACACGCTGCAGTGACGGCGCCTAATGCCGTCACGCACGAGAACACTTCTACACGAATCCGGAAGGTGTTCTAGATTAGCTCATTAGTAACTCGGAGTCACTTTATACGGCCTGGGCACTCTCCTCACAATTTGAAATTTTGAATAAGTAGATCTTTCAGACTATATGAGACGCGTCAGTGAGTTATTTGGATTGTTGAACCATTGCAATGAAAATGAAAAAGTAACCGACCACCTGAGATCTAGTTTCGGTTCAGGGATGGTACATGAAGTTCGTGTCATCTCATACCATCACCTACCATGAGTCCTTTTCCAGGACATCTGAGTCACTCACTACCACTTGTAAAGTGGCTGAAATTCAGACTTGTTACTATATATAAATGTTCATGCAGTGGTACAGTTTACTAATGATTGCTATACTACATTTAGACCTCACAGCCATCTATAGTTAGTAAGTCAGGGTCTCCACGACGGCATCAAGCACCCGTAGAGAGTCCGGCAAGTAAAACTTCTCAAAATGCATAGGGACGGGAGTACTATTAGGCCATGATCCCTTGTCAAAGATACGCCAGGGTTTAAAGAATGACACTCACTCCCAGCCAGTCACCAGTTTGACAGGTGCATTCAACTTAAGGAAACACCTCTTCTGGATTTCGGCGCCAATATCAGCACCGACTCCGCCCACGCGTCCAGCTTCATGTACAACGACGAGCCTGCCTGTACGATTGACGCTTTCAGCGATCGTCTCCACATCCCAAGGCAATATGGTGCGCAGATCAATGAGTTCCACCTTTGCAGATCGCAAAGTAAGGGGTACATGCTCTGCAATCGTCTGTGGAGGAGAAGACAACATATGCAGCGCCGTTTCACAGCTGTAGATTGGAGTACCCCATGAGACCAGCGTGAGGTCTGAACCTTGTACAAGTGTTTCAGCGCGACCAAGGGGAATTTGAAAGGCATCTACAGGTACTTGCTCCACTGTCATAGAGTGTGTAAGGTTTCGATCGGGCACACGCCATAAGCAGACATACCTGCAGCACGGTATAGAATTTTAGGTTCCATGAATATCACAGGATTCGGATCCCGGATTGATCCCAAGAGAAGACCTTTCGCTTGAATGGGAGAGCGGGGAATAACGACCTAGCCGACAATTCAATGCAGTGTCGTATACATAAAGAAATATGACCACCTTAATGCCAGCCGCTCCCAAGAAAAATCCCTCAGGGCTTTGGGAGTGATAATGGCCACCATGACCTACGGCCATAGTGGGACACCGAATTGTTAGACCTCCCGCTTGATAATTTCCACCTGAGCGGTACCGGAACTTGGCAGCCTCGTTCACGATCTGGTTTGTTGTTAGATTAGCGAAAACGGCGATGCGGCAAATAGATAGACCTGGTCAAATGCCGGAAAGATGTAGTCGGCGAATTGAACCTCAGCGATAGCAGTATGTCCCATTGCCGCTATCCCAATACCAAATCCCGCAATACCTTGTTCACTCAAAGGCGTGTTGAAAACTCGTTCCCTGCCTACGGAAACGGTTCGCCCGGTCCAAAAATAATCGACAATGATTACACACCAAATTCCTCCGCGAGCCCCTTGACACACTGTCAGTAACGACATGGAGTTCACAAGTGTTGACGGACCATGGTACACCTGAAGACGCCCCCGAATGCTATGTCCTCACCAAAGACTACAGCGGTGTCATCGTGCGACAATGCATTGCTAATCAACGACTCAATTTGAATGGTCAGCGGAGGTTCTCGGTAAACACAGACCTAAGCGCATCTCGGATCGCCTGATACATATTCATTTTGCGCGTCTCGCGACCAGCTATGAGGTCGCTCGATGATCCCGTCTGCCCCTCATCCGTCCATTGCAGACCGGAGGTACGAAGAGCGGACTCGCGAGTCGTCCGAAGATACTGAGAGGTTGCGACAGAAGGAAGATGCTCGGCCTCTGCGGTATGCTGCTCGGTAGTGGTCGAGCTCCAGCGCCGGCACTGCATGTAATTGAGTAGGACAAACAAGCAGAACGAAGGACTCTTACAGGCTTGATAAAGGCTTTTCTGAGCAAGCGCGTTGAAGCATACATGATTGTCAAATCCAGAATGGTCGTTCGGCGTCGGACGAGTTCAAGAAGTTCGCATTAGGTTGCTAGATCCGATAGGTTTCACGCGGCACCGCCGATCATAGTTGCCGGGCGTTTTGATGCGAGTCGGACGCCCGCGGTCACAAGCGCATCGCGACTCGACGCGGCGCCGTCAGTGGAAATCCCACAGCAGACATGGAGAACGATTCGACGTTCGTGGCTCCCGAGGGTGTGTACTCGGTTACAGAAGAACACAAGCCTTCCCTTGTCGGCCAGCACACCGTTAATTCCATCCCAGTCCTATTCCCAACCCGTCTCTCTCCCGTCACCATCCGCTATCCCCCCACCAAGTCTGCCAGTTCTCCAGGCATATCACACCTTCTCGGAGGCAGTCGAGAGAAAGAATACAAGAAGGACAAGGTAGTGCCAATCCTAAGGGATCGTGAAGACGGGGCGAGCGTGTCGAGTAGCGATGACCCGGACGATGCCTCTCCAGACGTTTCCACCGCCGCCATCACAGACAATGTCAAATCTTCACCCATGGTTCCTCATGACTCTCCTAATAACATTTTCTCTCACAACCCAGGGGGGCTTGGAAAGAAGAAGACTATCGCACGGCCCAAGCACAACATGCGAACGACCTCGTCCACCTTCATAACCCGGCTCCAGAACGCAGACAATCTCCACAAGAATCTTCAACTGAAGCAGGGAGAGATTACGTTCTTGTTCTATAACTCTGCCAAGAGCTTCGTTTGGACTGAAGCTGGTGCAAAAGTGAAGGTATTGCCATTTGTATGCAGACTCGCATTCCAGTCGTTCACCTCCAGGATAGGAACCACTGGCACGAATTCATTTCTCTGCTCATCCCACTTGTCACGACGTCAATCTGGCAACAGTTTGTCCAGAACGAATTGATGTCATCATTGGCTTCAATACTGGTGACCTGTTGTGGTTTGGTGAGTGTGATTAGATGTAAGCCTGCCTTTTCCTGACATATAGCCCAGACCCTATGTCTTCACGATATGGTCGCCTTAACAAACAGGTGGGAATGCCTTTGAGTATCGTTCGATTCATCTTTAATACCGTGTGTTAGGGCCGCATCTGTAACTCGCCGTGCACTTCTATTCGCTGGGTCCCCAACTCACCGAATCTGTTCCTTGTCTCCCACGCGAATGGAACGATTGTAGTATACGACAAAGAACGAGAGGATGGTATTTTCGTGCCGCAGGAACCAAGCTCAGTGACATATTCCAGCTCGTCTTCCAACGGGGCACCATCTACCTCATCTCCAGGAGAGTGGGATTCACTTGACAGTATATTTGTGACAATGCCTCCTTGGCATCCGGTTACTGCTGGGGGGACATTTACTGGAGGTGGAAAGTCTGATAAAGAAAAGACGGCCAAGAATCCGGTCAGCCACTGGAAAGTTTCTCGCCGTACCATAGTAGGCAAGTGATATTCGTCAAGCTGTGTCAGATAATCTCACGAGTTGCTTCAAAGACTTTGTCTTCTCTCCTGATGCCAAATTCGTTGCAGCTATTTCAGAGGATGGCTGCCTGCGGGTCATCGACACGATTGCTGAGCAGTAAGTTAGCCATTCCCTATCCTACATGATCTTGACCCCTCGTCAGGCTTGTTGACTGTTATGCATCGTATTTCGGCGCACTGAGCTGTGTTGCCTGGTCCCCTGATGGTCGATTTATTTTGGTGCGCACACATGAAAATTACAGTCTGTGTCATACTTAGCTCAAGGAACACTGACAGACCGGCGGCCAAGATGATCTCGTTACTATTACTTCACCGTGGGAGCAACGAGTTATAGCGAGATGCCAAGGACATTCGTCTTTTCTCTCTGCACTTGCGTTTGATGATCTGCGCTGTGACGGCAGGACTTACCGCTTTGGTAGTGTAGGAGAAGATAACAAGCTGATTCTGGTCCGTATTTGCCACTATCGATGTCTCCAGCATTGACGACGTTGGAGTTTTCAGTGGGATTTTTCAAGTGGTGCTTTACACCGGCCGAAACTCCATGTGAGTGACGACGAACACTTGGTCAGATATACAAGTGTGAACTGACGTACTACTGGGCATTTCAGTCTGCTCACCACCAGCGTCTCTCAATGACCTCGTCTGTCTCGTTAGCGCTGCGTCGTCGAGGAGAGTCCACTCTAATCCTGTCAGCTACCGACTCACCTCTTCCAAGATATCACCCTGCACCATCGCGAAATGAAGTAGCTGTTGTCCAGCCCGTCTTGGTGAGTAAACGCTATCATCTGCTGGCAGTTGATCAACGGTGCCCATTTGTATGGTTAGATCAAGCACGTAGGAAATGATATGTTAACAGATATTACGTTTACTTCCCGAGGCATCCTCACTACCACAAGGCTAGGTCATATCAAGCTGTGGATCCGACCGCTGGTAGTTAAACCACGTCATCTCAGAACTCAGAGCATGTACCGGAGGGAGAGTGCAATCGAGGTCGTCAGGTGAGACAATGCACTAATGATTGTTGCTATTTGAAGTTGTTTCATATACCCCTGTACGCCACGAGGATTGTAACGTTTATGCTCTGAATATCTACATCCATAAACCAGATTAAACTGATGTTGTGTTTCTGTGTGTGAATTAGCTGACAACACTCAGGCTCCAGTTCAGTTGTGACCGGGTCCGGATACTGTGGCTAGCGCTTTTGGCACGTGACTATAGCTTCTCCTGCAGGGGCGCGTGCGACTGCAGGCCTTCATCCTCTTCATCCTTGTCGTGGGGCGTCCCCATCGTCAGACAATAACTTCCCTCTCAATCAGATGATACCAGTATCTTCGCTCAAAAACCTCTGTTTGGTTGTGTGTCTGGCATTTCGATGCTGTCAACTGAATCGGCGAGATTCAACGTCGTCTTCGGAATAGGATTTTGACGAATTCTGCTTGGTATGCCTCTCACATTCTCCCCTTCCAATACATATTTGACCGTTCTCAGTAATCCTATAGTGAGAGAGAGTGTGTGTGGTAGACTCCGAGAGTTTGGGGACGCCATTGAGTCGTAGTTGCTGGTATATATGAACGGATCGTGTGCGATGGGTGAGGAGTGAGAGGGTACGTTGTCGATTTTCTGTTTGAGGCGATTCCTGATTCAGCACTCAATTGTTCTGAGCAGCATTTCTTGTGTTGACCATACTCAAAGGCCTCTCACCTACTGAACGATGAATTCGCCGGAGTACACGGGGTAACTACCATCAGTTTTTAGCCGGTGGATTGTGAGTACTCGTAATTTATGCAAAACTTGCTTCACATTGCTAATATATGCCCAAGAGATGCTGATTCCGTGTCGACCCCATAGCTCTGCCACAAGGTCGAGGACGTCACTTTCCATTTATGGAAATAATTACGTCAGCTCAACTGAGAAAGTTCGGTCCGGCGAAGTCCCGTCTCGGCTTCACTCGATACCGCGCCAGGAGGCGTCGTTGCCGTCCCACGCTCGACTCTACACGCCCCCCGCCTATTCGTCGACGCTCATCGCCTTCCACACTCCATGACATGCCCCGAAACCACAATGCAGGACCTTCCACTCTTCGAAATCGGAACCGCGTCACAAACAAAACTCGACTCAAGGTTATCACTGAGAGTATTGATGCAGACCCGATCGTGCTCGATGAGGATGAGGAGAAGGCGAGAGTGGTTTCTACTGCCGGTGTCGACGCTGAAGATGCCAATGTGAGTCCCCTTCATCGTCTCTTCCGTGCGATGTGCGCCCTTGTTGAAGTCCCCTGTGTGGCGCATTGTCATTGGCTGGCACCGTGGGAGAGTTAATCCGTGGAATGCTTACTAAGCAAGCGTACTCCGCTTATAGGAACATCATCTGCAGGCGGTTCTATCTGCGGCCGCCACTCGACATCAAGCAAATGTACGAGCTACAAGGTCAGAAAAGGAAAAGGTGGTCTCAGCCGCGTATATTCCTACACCAGACAGCACAGGCGTGGTGGACAACTATGAAGAACTCTACCCTTCCGACAGATGGAAGGATTCTGCGACATATGTCAAATCTTCCGATACAGTTGAGGAATCGATTTTCTCTGCTCTTGCCACCGGATTTATCTACTACATGGACGAGCGTGACAAAGACTGGCTTGACAAGAACAACGAAGAAGCGCGAGGAGAGGGTACTAGTGCTCAAGGCGCTGTGTCGGGTACAGGTACACGTTCGGGGCGCAGCTCGAAAGCCAAGGGGAAGGATCCTGAATTCAATCAACCCGTTGCGATGTCGGAGGACGAGTTTGAGCTGGTAATGGCGATCTTCGAAAAAGTGACACATGAGAAGACGCCTTTTCTGTATCATGTCAGTCCTTCTTCAAGTGCCATCGTCTTATATGACTAAATCCGATTTAATTTCAGGGCCTCGAGGAGGGGACAGTGTTTCCCCCATTCTCTGACTATCAAGATACGTTTGCGGCCGACCTGTCTGCTTCGATGTTCGCCCTCTTTGATACACCAAAGTGGATACCTTCTCCGCAACAGCTACTGCGCATGGCTCGGGCTGTTTATCCGTATTGGCGCGATCGTCGACTGGAGCGGGGTGGGCACCCCATCATACCCTCTGTCAATGTAGGTGGTGCTCTAGTTCTGTATGAAACGTGCTCAAACGTGGTTGTCACAGTTAGACGAAGCTGATACCAAGAATGAGTCATACATATGTTTCCGACGGCGCGAGATCAAAGCCATCAGAAAAACCCGAGCTCAACAGGCGACGTATTCCGATAAGATGTTGCGACTACATTCCGAGCTGGCCACATCATTGGAGCTGGCAAGAGGTGTTTTGGAGCGGGAGGTATTCAAACGGGAAGCCGCTGGACAAAGTCAAGGTGTTTGGGAGAAGCGTCTTGTTCTTGTCGATCTGAAGCGCAAATTTCCTGCTCTCGGTACCAAGGAAGAAGAGGAACTCCTCTATGACAAGGAAAGAACACCAAAGAAGCCGAGGGCAGAATCCACTGCGTGCGTTCAGAGTTGATTGTGTCTCCGTCTTTCGCAACTTATTGTTCCTCGCACAGTCGAATTCCACTCAAACTGCGAACTCGCGACAACGGAGAGTTGGGCTCCCCAAATGGTCATCAAGAGCCTCAAATTCGGCCTAAGGAGCGCCAAGCGCAAATTCAAAGCCAGATTGAACAGGAACTGGCTAAACGGAAAGAGAAGGACCACCATTGGGAAGATTCTATTGACGTATGTCCTAGCGGCCGTCTTACATTTTCCAGTGCGCTCAGCTTTATTCTGCAGAATACATATCAACCATCACCCCCTGCATATGCGTCGAAATTATTCAAGTTCATCTCGTCGACACGTGGGTCTATGTCGTCAATAAGTTCCAATGAGGCTGGTCCCATCAAGCCCAGTCGTTCAAGTCGTGCTGCCCGCTTGCGTTATGGTCGAGGCGGTCGGTTGCATCTTGATCGACGTACCCTCATTCCGCGTGTCTCATCTCCATCTGAGTTACTTTTGGAAGACGAAGAGGGCGACGTGGAAGCGCGTGAGCGCGCCCGTCGATTGTTCGAGCGGTGGAAATTTGACAATGACGATGGCCCTGCTTTTGGATCTGAAGGTCCGGATGAAAGGGATCGAATTCTGCTTGATGATTCTCAGCCGAGGTATGGTCACAGCTGTGTCACTTTTTGTTTGCCATTCTGAAAAATTGTGCCACAGATATCTCGTTCACAGTGTGACGCTTCTGAATGATCAAGACTATGAGAGTTTCTCTCCGGATACTAGTATCACGGTCACGTTGAATGATGGTCGTCCACACACTCATATACCATTCAAATTGAGTCCATTGACTCCGTCTCGACGTGACGTGGTCGCACCAGCGCGCGCCGGTTCTACTGTGGGGACGTCTGGAGAAGCAATAGCTTCTGTGCAGTCGAATGGTCTCCTGCCTATGTTGTCCAGTGGGATGCCTTCAGTGGTACCGACGCCATCGAAGAAAATGGTGCCTCCGAGTGTACCACATGTGCGTATATCATCTTACGGGGAAATGCGACCTCCAGGGCTACCGACTCTTCCAAATATGCAGCCTAGTTCGGCTATATGTCCCCCTCAGAGCACACCTTCGAGCAGCACAAACTCGGGCGCCCAGGATGGCAGTGGGTCGCCTATAGATGCTGACGATCATGGCACCCAGCCATCTGCGGCTGCTGGTGTTAACGGCAACGCGCAGGTCATCCAAGACCACTCACAGAGTGACGCAAATTCACTTGCAGTTGTATCATCTTCCCCTGTTCGTTCGAAGGCATTGCTTCAACAATCTATTTCCATTCCCGCTGTCCCTAATGGTTACCATATCCCTCCTGTTAATTCTTTTTCTACACCTATGCCCGCTACTCCTTACGTCCATCCTCCCGCAAGACATAATGGCCTTGGGCTACAGCAACAGATGCAAAGTATAAAGAGTGCTTTCATGTTACCATCGTCAGACTCCAACGCACAGGTTCATAATGCGAACATGCAACTACGAACATCTGCTTCCTACATTGGTCACCTTCTGCCTGGCAATTCCAATTATGTGCCGCAGCAGTTGGCTACCGCCCGTCATATGCAACAGTACCTACAGCAGCAGCGATCACCGTCCATTCAGAGCGCAGATGTTAACGGCTTAGAGGGGATGTCAGTTACCCCGTCGCTTTCTCCGCCTATGCCTGGGACACCGGTTCGGACACCGTCGGCAAATGGCGTACACACACCTTTGTCTCGAGCGGGTACGGTTCCAGCGATCAATCAAACGCAAGGCAGAGCGTCCCCTGCGACTACTCACATTACTCGTCTTGCTGCCCCTCTGTCACCTTCACCTCATTTGCTCAATGCGAATCTGGGTACTGCTCAACCACAGTCATCTCCATCGAGATCTCCACAACCTGTCTTAGCGTCTCCTTCGCCGTCGTTGCAATCGCGACAGGCGGTGGGCAGTTCTGGTGCTGGGTATTAGGATACTGTGTATTTGTAAAGCTTTTTGATCTCGTCGTCTCCGCTCCGTTCCGCTTTCGATGACTTATATAGTTGTTTACTTTCTATGAGGCTAGATTTTGTATGGCAATTCTTCAGATTAGCTGTGAAGAATACTGATCATCGCTGTGAATCTGATGTCTCCTTGGGTTAGGCGCCTAAGCTATTTACTCCCAACTTTCCGCATGTCTGGGTACGAGACCACTTTCCGTTTACTCTGGCGTGACTTGGTCCTCCCTCTCTGGACAGCCGTGATTGCAATGGAAACTGCTTTGGCTAGTTTGTTATCTACTTTCGTTGCTGCAACCAACAGATATATGTTCGCTAGTCCTTTCAACACCACCTGTACCTTGTGCGCCTTTATCTCGACGGCCTCCTTCGCCAATATCTTGGAGCTATGGTCAGCTTTCAAGTCATCATTTTTTTCGATTGAAAATACACCATTCGTCTTACCGGCAGTTTTCCTATTTTTATTGATGGCTCGTTCCTCGTGGGCGCGCTCACGGACTTGCACTGTGCAAGACACACGCGATGCACTGCAGGCACTTCTTGTCGTCCTGACTCCTACTTGTTCTCTATGGTCTCCCATTTATTTGAATACCACTCGGCTTGCAGCTTCACGGCATCGCACTATACTACTCCCCCTGCAAACTCTCATAAGCGATGTCATTTCTGGTACGGTTGAGCTTCGGGATCCTAGTCTAGACCTTCCAAAATTATTTGCTGGTTTGCTTCGAGTGGATGATTGGGCTATTGACATCTATGTGGAATGGTCGTGGTGGGCAAACATCATCATAGGATACGCCTTTCCATCTCAGGTAATTGCATTCGCGCTGGATGAAATGACTATAACCGATGGTGATTCGCTTTACCTGCATCAGCTTGAGGGTCTTCGACTAAATGTATGGCAGAGTAAGTGCATGTATGCTACGTAATCTTTTCTATGCACTGATGCTTTGGGCGATCTCGGACATGGTGGTCGTCTAGCGTTTGGACGCTCCACCCTGAAAACTTCCTCTAGCTCCCAAGAACATAGCTCCGTCTTGCATCGGTCATTTGTTCCTCAATCATGCGCTCGGAATAGCCGCCGAACTTCTTTCAGCGTGCAGCCCTCGGGTATAGTCCCTCAGAGTCATGTACAAGATATTGCTCGCAGTCTCCAGACCTCCCTTATCCCTGGCACCAGTCTGGCGCTCGAGTTCGTGACTTCAGGCCCTTCCGTTTCTCTGACGAGCAGAGCATTTATTGTTGCGGCTCTCCCATTCTTCCCGCGCCGTCATGCACGGCACAACACCCACTTGGTCGATAGTTCTACTGATGTGGTCCATGCCCCAATGCCGCTTTCTCCCTCGCTTCCACATGTCTTACAGTTTCTCACAAGCGGCCCTGCTCCATTCACAATTTGCTCTGTGGATAATGTCTCCGAGAATCGGGTTGCATCCCTCTCCCGCTATGTGCAAGATCTAGAAACAAATGCGGGTGTACGTAACATTTGCGTACAGCAATGGGGCATGGATGGTTGGCGGGAGGAGAGGTTTTTTGCACATTGGGAGGCGGCAGCGTTAACGGCAGGATTACTCGAACGGTGGACGGTTACCGTTCGGAAATAAGACTTCACGCATGTAGTCTCATCCGGGGACCATCAACTTGTCACAAGATGCGCCCGTGCTTCTGCTGTTTGAAAGAATACATCGTTTATGTCTGTTTCACCGCTTATCTCAAGCTACAACGTCCTGGACCGTTAACGTGTCTTCATCTATACCAGAGTCTCGCCATCGACAAGGAAAGTCCACAAAGCAGATGGCTTCATGTAATCATGGTGCACAATGCTAATCAGCCACCGCTCATTCCGGATCCGCTCAAGCAAAATCCGCTCTTGAGAGTTTGGAGGGTAGAATGATGCCCATTCGGCCCATATCGAGAAAGCCTCATCCTTTCTAGACGTCAGATATGCTCCATCGCATGGGCGGAGCGCCACTTACCTTCCAAGACAAGAAGGATTCCCTCTCGATAATAGTTGACTGAGTAACTTCTTGTCCAGGAAACACTCCCCACGTGACAGCGTTTCTGCCACCCTCTGGGACATTCGTTCTGCACTCACCCTAGAAGTACGTCAATGTCACGTCAATTCACGCGAATATACACGATGTTACCTGGACGTTTCCAGCAAAATAATCAACCCATCCATAACCCTCCTCTTCCACTTTCTTCTCAATCTTCTTAAGATCTGCCGCATCGGCAAAGAACTCCACAAAAGGCTTTTGGTACACGTATCCGCCACGCGGGCCCCAGCCGACAATTTCGTCGCTTGAGCTCGCGCCATTGATGGCAGGTTGCGAACCCACCGTCCACCAGCCTTTCCGCGTTAAACGTTCTAGATGCTGGATAATAATAAGAGACTCTAGCGATAGTGGTGTGGGGGAGAAGGGCGTAGTAGCAATTTTAGAATGTAAATGTCGCAGGAACATATTGGTCAGGTCGGAAGTTGTTGTGGGATGGCCCCATTGCTCAAGTGTTTGATGTCGCTGCGAATAGATGGCCTTGCTGTGAACAGTGTATCTTTATAGACGCAGTTAACGGCACCCTCACCGACATAATTGAACTACCCCATAAATCAGTCTCGCCGTATGCCGGACTCTTGAAGTCTCCAAATCGGCCATTTGGAAAGTCGTCCCAAGTTGCAGCATTGTTGAGCTCTCCTTTTCCCACTTCGCCTTCTGCGATTGGCCCAGAGACCACCAAAGAATTGGTGGCCGAGTCTGTGGCGTTATGTGGCGTGATAACAAACTGCGACTCTGGGCCAGAGGGCACGTCCTAACAACATACATCAACCAATTTCCCACAACAAGTCTAAGCAATGTTACCGCAATGAGTTGGTTCATAGGTTTTGAGCTACCACCAATCCATGCCAGGCTTCCGAGGACACGAGTAACACTCTTTTCAAGATTGAGAGTACAAAGATGTATTCCGCGGATGTCACTTTCTGCGGTGAGTCTCTTGATCATTTTGACGGCGAGATCAACGCCATAGTCCTTGATTTTTTGATCGTCATGCTGTTCAATGATACACTCAGCCTTGTACTGGAAGACTGGTCACTTGAAACGCACGCGCAGAAGTACAAGATCAGACATAAGATGTGGTGGGACACGGGTACCGCAGAGCTTGGTCATGCGAAGAAAAGACGCATATGTCTGTATGGGCATGATCCCTGGGATGATGGGTATTTGAATGCCTAAGATGTGTGAAAACGACGAGTCCACATCTTTAAAACAAACCACCTACCTTTACTCCTGACTTTTTTCATCCACTGGAGAAAGCCGTCGACGTCATAGAAGAGCTGAGTGATGATGAAGTCCGCGCCGGCATCGACTTTGGCTTTGAGGTGCTCCAGTTCTCCATCGTCATCGGTCTCTCTATCTGGGTGCCCATCCGGATATGCTATGGATCACTCGATAAGTGCTGCATCTATATATCAGAACAGGTGTAGTGACCTGCCACGCCTACGCAAAATTCGGAAGAAAACTCAGGAGAGGATCTAATATATGAGACGAGATCGACTCCATAAGTGAATCGCGGATCTGTTGGAATCCAGTATTCTTCTCCCCGCGGCGGATCTACCATGTCTGAGCTGAATGATCTATGCTCTGACCATGAAACGCATACCTCCCCGTAGCGCTAAAATATTGTGAATTCCGCGCGCTTTCGCGTTCTTGCCAATTGGCCTTAGTACAAATACGACGGACGAGTGCTTCGCCATTTACACACCGTGAGAGCGTCGTCAACCATTCCCTGCTCCATGTTCGTGCAGGTAAGATGCAGGATTGTGTCGATGCCATGCTGGGTCTGTGTGATTGCAGCCAGCTCAAGACTTCGCTCTTTTGTACTCCCTCCAGCGCCCCAGGTGACATTGATGGCAAGAGGCTCCAAAGAAGCCAGACGCGATATTCGAGGGAGTAAATTCTCGAATCCCTGTAGTTGGAGAAGCGTAACTGTCTCGATTGATGCTAACTGGTATGAGTAGCACGGACCTGATCTGTTTTTGGGGGAAAGAATTCAAAGGTATAAAACGGATGTGTCTTGTCGTTGTATTCCGCTATTTTCTGTGTGATCCTCATGGTCTTTTGGCTATTATTTGCAAACTGAGCACTGCGCGCTGAAGGAATTACCAACCGTCTCAAGCCATCTTCCAGTTCCGGACAAGCCAGGGCGAGAATCACGTGGTATTCCAGGACTCGATGCGATCGGTACCAGGTTGTCGGATATCGTTGCTGACTGCCCCTTGGAGGCTCGTGCTCGCCCTCAAGGACAGCGGGCTCATCCAATCAACGTAGTTTAGAGACAAGCTTTCGAAAATCCATCAGGCTATGGCGACCTCACCAGTGTCCGCCGACTTCTCTTCCCCACCGCTTAAGCGCAGCAAGATTGTGCTGCTGGGAGACCAAAGCGTTGGCAAAACCAGTCTCATTACGAGGTCAAGTAGTGGAAATTATGATAGTACACGCACGGGATAATTAACATATCTCCCCAGATTCATGTACGATACATTTGACAACACATACCAAGCCACAATAGGGATTGACTTCCTGAGCAAAGCAATGTATCTCGAAGACCGTACTGTACGACTGCAACTTTGGGATACTGCTGGTCAAGTGAGTAAGCTTGTGCGTCTGCACACCTTTGATACTAAGATCATACGACAGGAACGATATCGCTCGCTAATTCCTTCTTACATCCGAGACTGCTCTGTTGCTATAGTCGTGTTTGACATTACAAGTGGGTGATTAGTATATCATTCCACACGGAAGGCTTATTTTATAAAACTTAGACCGTCAGTCCTTCCTGTCAACATCAAAATGGATAGACGACGTTCGCTCAGAACGAGGGAGTGACGTGATTATTGTGCTAGTGGGTAACAAGGCAGATTTGTCTGATAAGCGGTATGTGTCTCTTCAATTTGGACATTGGATTTCCTCAATACTGTTGACATTGCCAGACAAGTCATGTTGGAGGAAGCTAACACCAAGGCAACACAGCTCGAGATCATGTTCATGGAGACCTCTGCGAAAGCCGGCCATAATGTCAAGAGTCTCTTCAAGAAGATTGCTATGGAATTGGTGGGTATGGAGAAAGAGACTGAAGCTTCCGAGACGCAGAACACCAGTACGATACCTCCTCTTACATTATTTTATGCAGGTTCTTATCGTTCACCGCCAGAAATTGACGTAACAGCACCGCCGACGAATGAGGTACCCGATGCGTCATCGTGCAACTGTTAATTTCCGTGGCTAGATCCTTGTTGATGCTGGCCGCGGTTAGGCTTGCAGCTGCGCGCCATACTAATCCCTCAGAGTAGTGGCCTTGCATATACATTTTCGTCTTCTCCTGAAAATACAGGAATTTACAGAAATATATAGATATTGTACACATTTGCCCTCAAGCCCATACCATCATTGGACACGGGACAGTGCTAGACTTCTGGTCTTCTTGAACCTCGGTTATCCTCGATTCATAGTGTTTCCTGCACCACGCTGATGAGTATCGGTGTACTGTGCCCATCTCTCATCTTGTTGTCGCTTCTCCTCTGCTTTATCCTCCCCAAACACCGTGCCATTCATTTCAGCGTCCAATGCCAATTGCTCTTTGATTGTTGGCGCTTCCTCTGATTGCGCTCTGTAGAACATCAGATCAGCTAACGTACAGGAATTGAGTAGAATTCATACCCTCCACCGGAAATAATGTTCCCTCGCTGGCGTTCGACTTCTAAGTAATCATCAACTGTCATCGTGGGCAGGCGATGATCTGGTTGAAACACTTCTGCCCGCAATTGTGCCCGGCTGGACGAGGAGGGAAGAATTGTGAATGGACGAAGAGGCTGTTAGGAAGTTCAGCACATCTGTCTCGAGGGTACTCAGGGGGAGTACTGACTTTGCCGCTGGGGTCAAGCAATGGTCCCTTGCCGTTTGGCCCGCTTCGCAGTACTGGTGCATCTAATCTCCACAAGTCATTATTCTCCCGACCCCTCACATGACGAGGATCTTCGGAATGTTGGGATACGCATTGTGATGGTGCGCTGCGCAACAACTGAATTTCTTGGACCAAGCTCTGCATTTGTGCATGCGCCTGGGCACATGTTAGACGTAGAAGAAGCAGTGCGGCTTCACGTAAGATGTCTTCCGCTTCGTCATCCTCGTCATCCTCGTCGATATAGTCAGTTGTATGAGAATGCGTTTTGAGTCGAGTTCCAGGTATAAGAGACGAAATTAATTCAAAATTCGAATCAACGTCGGTGGTGAGCGAGCCGTGATTGCGGCGCTTGCGAATTTCCTTCTCAAATAAACGGTGTGTCGCTAAAACTCGGTGTGGAACATACCGCTATCCTAATTTTGATCTCTTTCTCTTTCTGATACTGTTTGATCTTCAAGTCTCGGCGCTGGCTTGCATCACCCACGGACATGCTAGCTTGAGCATAGATCGCCCGCTCAGATTCTGGAATAACCTCATACATATCCAAATATAACAGAAAGGTTGAATAAAGTGACTGTCGCTGTATGAGGGTTCGCTAGGTTGATGATTAGCATTTGTCACTTACTCGAGATCTTTCAGCGCGTTCTAATCGTTCCTCAGGATCCGCAGTGCGCACACGACCTTCCACCTCGGCGAGGACGAACGGAACCAATAGATACACTAGATCGCGTGTGGGAATGTCCGAAAGGAGCTCGTTTTCACTAAAAAGAGCAAGGGCGGAAATACGAGAGTGTACCAGTTTCAGATCCGAGAGCGCGGACTGAATGAGTTCCTATGACTTGGTTGTGGATGAGCTAGCGGCGAAAATTGGGTCATAAAGGCTTACCTGTGTATCATCCTGAATGGTCGGCATGTTGTTTGCTTTCGCTGCGGAATTCAGCGCTCTGCGGAACAGAGCAGGTAGAGACATCTCAGACATTACTAACGATTCGTCGATGGTGAGTGGGGACAGACGAGCGCAGCGAACCCAGACTCGGACAGACCTGGACGCCGAGCCCAGGCCAAGATCGAGACACGCTGATGACGATTCGCCCACGTGCTGCGCGCGTCCGTGCGCGCGTCGTGGTGTGGTGAACTTCGCGTCCCATTTGAGTCGTCTCTTTGCTCTGCCAGACACATTCTACCCGTATCCTCGGCTCTCTGTGCACGTCTTGAAAGTTGGCATGAAACGTTCCGCGCATGAAGCTATTACAGCTTCAGTGCCCAAAAGACTACGAGAGACGGACAGGGACGCGTACTTCGATCCAATCCACAAAAAGCGCGCCGTAGATGTTTTCCAGTGCGAATTAGACGATACAGGATATTTGGACTTGGCTGTTTTCATGAAATGGCCATCAAATGCACACAGACAATATGTAGTGGTGAACCCTGTGGATGAACCTCGGGAAACCCAGTTTCAAGTCATTTTTTCAGGACGGTGCTCCAATTACTTCGATTTGTTACAGTTTTCTATTGGAGATAAGTTCAGTCTCGCACTACGGGGTTCTGTCATAGGACAGCCTGAGTCCAATCGCCCTACTCTCCTTTATGAGGATGGCGTTGTTTTAAGGCTGACGAAGAACGGTAATTCCGGTCGCATTATTGATACGTGGGCTCGTGAGTGATAACTTTCGATACACCCTTTCGACCCACTGTCGTTTTATATTTTGATAGTCGACAAGCTAGCCGAGGACCAAGCCATAACAACACCCTCGGATGCATCTGCAGCTGACTGGTATGCAACTCCAGCAACTGGTGTCGACCGATCGAGTGGCAGTACGGAGGTACTGGTCGACAATGGAGAGTCTAACTTTTTGCCTTCTTCGCGCTGCCTATCCCCGGAAATTGCACCAATGAATATCGGAGGGATAACTCTAGGCCAACGCGCACCTTTGGTGACAGCGTCTCGCCATTCTCCAGCAGCTGCCAGTATTACGCCGGGTCCCCTGGTGGCTAATCTACGCCGCTCTCCATTCATGGAAATATCTTCCAGCGACCGCCGCGAATCTTGTGCCGAGGGTTCTGCTGCCCATACAATTCCAGTCAAGGCGGCTGTAGGCACTCTCCACTTATCTGTGATTACCGCAGGAGATGTGCAGACAAGGCAAGACAGACCGATGAATGCTATCAATTCCATAGAACGTACCGCGTATATCAAGGGCGATCTTCTCCCGAAAGAGAAAAGGACTGATGAACAGATACCGTCCGTCCCGAGCAAAATGGTTTCCGCTTCTACACTGGATGGAATGTCCCGGAAGAAGATGAAAAAGTATGAAAAGAACAAATCACGGCGAGCGAAGCAGGCTCAAAAGGCAGTAAGAGGTAGCGGTCAAGATGAAAATATCCTCTCTGCGCCGGTGCATGTTGCTCAGCCCGTCGATATCGTTCAGATTGAGGATTCCGTGGACATTTCTGACCATGTACTGCTCCTCGGGGCGCAGAGTGCTGTACCTATGAGTGTCCCTTTTTCGGCGCCAGCTGCTAATTCCATCGCACATTCTCATTTACAGGGTGCAGCCATTACGAATATCTTCACGTCCGACAATGCTGCCCCCAATCCGGTTGATATGCAAGTGGGAAGGTCGGACACGCGATCACTTTCCCCACGAATACTTCCTCCCCAACTTCCGACACATATCAGCGTGTCTGCTCCACCTCCCTCTCAGCAACTTGCATCGTCATCACATCTTGGCAGTCATTCCATAACTTTATGTGAAAGTAGGACCAAAACTGAACAGCTCACGGAGGAGCTCCTGCGGACTGGCTTCCATGCCGACTGTGTGCGTCTTCAACGGCTTTGTTATCTCAGTGTCTGGTGCTCCCTACTCACCCACATTTCAATTATAGTGCTTTTATACCTCTCTTTTAGCGGTTCAGTCGAAGGGCAAATCGTATAACGTCATGGGAGTAGTTCAATCTACTGGGTCCATAGAGACGACGCGCACCAACGGTAGTTCACCTTTTAGGGTTCATCCTAAGCTCTAATTCACTTCCTCAGAGTGGAAGATCAGGCTGCACCTTGTCGATCCGGGTGTGCATGTCTCCGGTGGTTTCTCCGTCAATTGCTTTGGGAAAACCAAAGACTCACTGCCGACACCATGTCCAGGGAATATCCTGGTTATACGCCAGCTTCAGGTGTGGGGGGAAGACATGATAGAATGCTGCCCATGACTGATGGTTTTGCATACTAGGGAGATTCGCATCAAGGACGGCCATGCGGCACAGCCCCTTCTTACAAGCCCTGGTCGTGGGCAATTGTTGATATTCGTGCAGATGAACAAATGATACCAGACAATGGCGTGGGGAAGTGTAGATTCCAGCCAGACGCATCAGAGATGCGACATTGTGTTCGCCTCAACGATTGGTGGAAAGACACGGAATCGAATGCAAGCGTTGACCAGGGCACCGTTCATCAAATCGATAGTGGAACAAAGCGAGCTACCTCAGGCCGTGTGCATAGAACGATCTCGGAAGCGTCACCTTTCGTCGAACCGCAAGGATACTTTAATTGCACTGTTGAAGTTCGTGTATATAGTCAATTCACCGCACGAGATTGCTCATCCTCAAACTCTTCCGAATAGGTGCTATATGGTCATGAGAATTACAATCAGGTCTATAGTCTCTACGTCACCGATTATACGCAAAACCAGAATCTTATCCCTGTGGAAAGGGAATGGTGTCCGCCACAGTTGTCCAAGAAGATTCTGAAACTCGAGTTATTTGATGGAGCTGCTTTGAAAGGGCCGAGTTTGAAACAAGGGGACTACTATTTTTTCGGAAACGTTAGGATGAAGGTGAGCAGCGGAGGGTACTGGGAGGCCTCGTTTTCGCAGACCAGGAGTATGAACAAGCTTGATGAGGACAACTTGGAAGATGAGCCGCATTTTGCAGAGCTGTTAAAGTAGGTGAACTTACTTACACCACAATTAGATTTTTACTCTTTGCGTAGACGAAAAGTTCAGTGGGCAACCGAAGTCAAGAATATACCCGACAGCTTTCCACACAGACTTATTGAGGAAGTAGAGGCCGACCGGATGTTCTGTTGCACAGTGGAGGTAAAGGGTTATCACTTTATGCTTACCAATCTAATCCAGTAGAGCAGGTCCTCGCTGTATCACCTAAAGATGGCTATACCCTCCTATACGTCACAGATTATACGGCTTGCTCGGAATTGGCGCCTGTCGCTGCGACTATTACCGGATCAGGGGACATGCAAGATCGTATTGTTAAGATCTCTCTCGCTGCAGGACAAGCTCAGACGGCCGCTAGTTTGGAACCTGGCGATTTCGTTTCAATCAAGAATTTAAGACTGAGACCGAGCTCCAATACATTCAAAAAATTAGTAGGGAGGCTTGGTGGCGAGCAGAGACTTATCAATAAACTTCAGGCAAACAATAACAAGAATGATGCATTGCAGGCATTGCTTCGGTAAGTCCTTGTTCGTATAAAATCTGATAGTAACTAATGATTACATGTAAAAGACGTAAAGAAGAATGGGAAGCGCGGACGAAGGCGAAGGTTAAGCGGAGTATGCAAGCTAGCCGTAATCACAGAAAGTCCAGGCCTGCCATCGAATCGTCTACTTCGATCGCCGATCATCCAAAACAGCAGCTCAACGCGGGCAGCCTCACGTCTATCAAAGAAGTCAAGACCAGTGAGAAGTGCCCCAACAAGTTTCGTATTAGAGCACGTATCGTCGACTTCTTCCCTGATCATTTGGTGGATTTTGCCGCCAGGCGATGCACAAAGTGTGGAGAGGAGTATGCCCTGATCTTGACATTGCACAAACATACTCATGCCGCATTCACCAGCATTTCGAGCCACTATCGTATCTGTTCTCGGTGTGACGACGCGATGGATCCTGAAGGTAACACCAATGTCCGCACGCTCTATCAGTTCTGGTTCCGAGTCGAAGACGAAGTCGGTGACGAGCTTCAGGTTGCGGTGTGCGATGAGGAGGTTAGTGTCGTCTTATCTAATAAATGTGGCTTACTCAGAGGAAATTTTAGTGCACTCTATTGAAAGATCTCGAAGCAGCTGGATTGCGTGAGGATGAGGAAGCGCTAGAAGAGTTCACTCAGCGGCTAAGACCTCTTGTTGGAAACCTCTTGGCTGTGCATGATGGTATTCCACAGCGAGCAGCAGGAGAAGTTCTCCCCCCTCTGGACGCTCCCTTTTTGACTATGACGATTGGTAGTTGGCCCCTGGTCGATGAGCAGGATCCACATGCACGAGGATATGTGTTGATTGAACATGCTTTAGCTCCTGAATGAACGGCGCAATCTCCGCTGTAACTACACCGCTGCCGAATTTGTGGGCTGTAAAGTATGCTTAGTTATTCTGTACATATCCATATCCTTGACCGTGGCAGAAGCAGTGTGAGCGACTGGCTTTCGTGGCGTGATGGATCAGTTTGGCAGTGCAATCACCCAGCTGTGATCGTGATGAGACACTTGCCTTGTATGGCCCAGCAGATGCCACCCGTACTTACAGGGCGCTGTATTGTCTCTTCCTCTATCCCTTCCCTTCTGACACTGGCCTAATGCGCCTCCCGTTCACTCTTATCTTTGCGCTCCTTGGCTGCGATGCTGTTTTTGCTTCGCCCGCGAAACGACACTACTCCACCCACAATTACTATGTCCTCGAACATGATCCGTCCGCAGGTGCTTCGCTGGCCGATGTTGCGCGAACGCTAGGCGTCGAGGTTATAGAGCAGGCTGGAGAACTGCATAATCATTGGCTCGTGCGGGCATCAAAACCTACATCTGCTCTCGACAGCAGGCAGTTAGACCCAGTAATGCAGATTTGGGAGGGGTTGCAAGCGGGAACGGTCCACAATTCCTACGCAAGAGCAGATGAGACACTCCTGAGCCGGCACGTAGCATCCTCTGTTAAGTATCTTTCGCCACAAACTTTGCGACAGCGCGTCAAGCGTGCGCCTCCTCCTATAAATCCCGGAAGCCAGACGGACGAACAGGTAGAGTCTTCGAAGGCATTTGCTCAGCGTATGGGCATCCTGGACCCGGACTTTCCGAGGCAATGGCATCTCATCAATGACCAATTTCCTCACCATATGATGAATGTAACGGGTCTTTGGGAAATGGGCCATACGGGCGAAGGGGTAATTACTGCTTTTGTGGATGATGGTTTGGACTATACCAGCGACGATCTAGCTGCCAATTTTGTGAGTAGCTGTCGATGGAACTCCCGCAAAGATAGTTGACTGTTGATTAGTATGCTGCGGGCTCCTATGATTTCAATGACCACTTGGATTTGCCTACCCCGACTCTCTTCGACGATCATCATGGCACTCGATGCGCTGGTCAGGTCGCTGCCGTTAAGAACGAGCTGTGTGGAGTTGGTATTGCCTACGACTCTAAAGTCGCTGGTCTGCGTATATTGTCAGGGCCCATTTCTGATGTTGACGAGTCCGCAGCCCTGAACTACGACTATCAAAACACGTCCATCTATTCATGCAGCTGGGGACCTCCGGACGATGGCAAGTCTATGGAAGGGCCAGGATATATGATCAGAAAAGCTATAGTGAATGGCATCCAAAAAGGTCGTCAAGGCAAAGGTTCCGTTTTTGTTTTTGCTAGTGGAAATGGGGGTAGAAGTGCGGACCAGTGCAATTTCGATGGCTATACAAACAGCATTTTCTCCATTACAGTTGCCGCGATCGATTTTAGGGGTCTTCACCCGACCTATTCAGAAGCTTGTGCGGCTAATATGGTCGTGGCATATTCATCGGGTGGTGGTAACGCAATTGTGAGATCCTCATCTCTGCACCTTGGTGCTTGGAAGCTGATGACTGACTTAGGCCACCACTGACCGGGGGAAAAACAAGTGCTCTTATTCTCATGGTGGGACCTCTGCCGCAGCACCAAATGCGGCTGGTGTCTTTGCTTTGGCGCTGGGTGTGCGGTATGTCCCTGCAATATATTCGATGCGACACCAAGCTCATTATTTACCAGACCGGATTTAACATGGCGTGATCTGCAACACTTGTGCGTTCGTACGGCGACGAAGGTCAACCCGGACGATCCAGACTGGGAAATAACGGCTTCAGGCAATCAGTTCAGCTATAAATATGGATATGGCGCCGTCAATGGCTATAAATTTGTTCAAGCTGCCAAAACCTGGCAGCTAGTGAAGCCGCAGACATTCATCAATCTACCCGTTGTTCAGGTGGAAAATGGTACAATGGATCTCTTTCACCAAACGACTGGCGGGACAATCATTGCCCCAGGAGGTGTCTCCAGTTCAATGACGTTGTCACAGTCTTTGCTGGACGAAAACAACTTCGGCGCATTGGAGCATATTACTATCCAGGTGTGGATCACTCATACAAGAAGAGGAGACGTGGAGGTCGAGCTCGTGAGTCCGAATGGCGTCAAGAGTATCTTGGCCGCGAAGCGATTCGCGGACAAAGCGACGACAGGCTTCCGCGGTTGGACCTTTATGACCGTGAAGCACTGGTGAGGAGTGTCTACGTGCGCCGAAACTAGTGGACTGATTATGTTGTAGGGATGAGAGCCCTGTAGGCACTTGGAATATTCGTGTCTCTGACCAGGATAACGAGGGCGAGATAGGCCGATTCCTCGGTTGGACAATGACTATATGGGGCTCTGCTAAGGATGCAAGCAAACCCGTCAAGATCTACGACGTCCCTACCGTCGATACAGTGCTCCCTCCCCCTCACCCAGAGGCTAACATACCAGCGTCGACTATTGTAGCGGTTCCAACGTCGACCAAGACGTACGCGAAACCCACTGCGCATCTCCCGGGTGATCACAGTGATTCGGAAGGCGAGGCGCACAAGCCTGCCTTCCCCGTTGGTCCACAAAACGGTACCAGACCTGGGACTGACACCGCTGATCCTTCACAGTCGTCAGCTGTAGTCACAAACACGCCCACACCAGACGAAGGATGGTTCGCCGAACTCTCGAATCTGGTCACCAATCAGATATGGTTCTTTGTTGCCGTAGGAGCCGTCATCCTATTCGGCGTTATCGCAGGTCTATTTTTCTGGAGGCGCGCGGCACGCAGGAAAGCCGCCTACACGAGTTTACCTGAAAGCGATGAGGTCGTCCTGAGCTCCGTTGACAAGGGTGCAGGGGTTGGTCAGCGATCGAAGGAGCTCTATGATGCTTTCGGGGAAGTATCAGACGACGAGGAAGCCGACGAAGAAACCCGGCTGCGTCCTGCTGGCGTGTCACCTGCAGTGAACTTGCACGCCGGATTCTTAGATGATGATCCTTCTACCGCTGGGGGTATCACCCCGAGATATAGAGATGAACCCGAGGAGGGCATGCACGCACATGAAAGGGAACGATCGGATAGTCCCACAAGTGGAAGTGGAGATGGAAGCTGGGAGCATGCTTCCGAGACACGATAGTTCCACATACGTAGCTAGTCTCTCATTGTCAGCTTCGCACTATCTCTATACTTTACCAGTTCAGATATTTATGTCTTCCAGTAATATTGGTATTTTGGATAGGACAAGATACTACTTTCCGATCACAAAGACTAGGTCACGTACAAACGGATACAAAACAGTACGGCATGCAACAGAACCAGAAACTAGATAACATGAGAAAGTACTAGTAATATCATCCTCACACAGAATCAATAAAGCGTAGCTTGGAGTTGTGAGCAACACGTGTCCATACATCCACCGACTCATACTGCATGAGATCGTCAGTATATTGTTTTGGTTATTTTGCGTCGATATCCGTACCTGTGTGATGGCCTCCATGAGTTGTGCCTCGGTGAACCCCGCCGCCAGTACTCGAGCTCTAATATCCACGATGGAAAGTTCATCAAGGTCATCACTTTCCGAATCATCCTCGTTCTCGTCAACATCCATGTCATTTTCGCCAGCGGATCCCTTGCCGAAACGCTTTGTCCTGCGCCGTTTAGGCCCTGGACGCTTGTTGTTGGCCATATCTCTGATTAGTCTGTAGATTAGGCTAACTTTCGAACGGTCTTGATCGCGCTCTTCCTCATCATCATCTTGCAGGCTTTCCTTGCTTACCTCCATAAGACGTAGAGCTTCGTCGACGTCTTCCCTCTCGACAACTTCGGAGAAGCGCAATCGACATAGGGCTTGAGCGAGCCTTAAGACCCCGAGAAGGGTACGAGCAGAGGTGTACGTGTGAGACTTTTTCTGTTCTTCATCGTCCTTGGACAGCTTTCGGAGGCGCACGTAGGACTCCACAACGTAATTAGAGACTTCTGGTGGAACAGTTGGGCGATACTGTCTAGCGATTGCAATATAATGGCTGTAGAAAGTTAGTGACACGTCCAAGAAAACATATAGACGTCACTAACCGTACAACATTTGGGTCGACCAAGTCGTATTCGAGTTCAGGATGAGTGTTGTACATATGTACATATGTAACATGTTGTGCAAGCCGTTCGTCGTCGTCTCGTGTAGGCTTATCTAGGATTAAGAAGAGTAGATCAAAACGAGAAAGCAATGCGGCGGGTAGGTTGATATTTTCCACCGGAGACAGCTTGGGATTGTAGCGACCATACAATGGATTTGCGGCCGCAAGAATAGATGTGCGTGCATTGAGGGTTGTCGAGATACCGGCTTTAGATATCGAGATCGTTTGCTGCTCCATCACTTCATGTATAGCCGTTCTGTCTGACTCTTCCATCTTGTCAAATTCATCGATGCAACAAATTCCATTGTCGGCGAGTACAAGAGCACCCCCCTCTATACAGCCAGTGTCAAATATGTTACGATCAAGCAGGCAATCGAATGACACCAACCTAACACCATCTCATCAGTGACGGGATCACGCATTACAGCCGCCGTGAGACCAACGCCCGAGGATCCTTTCCCGGTTGTATATACGCCTCGAGGTGCCACCTTTGAGATATACTTAAGCAGCTGTGACTTTGCCACACCAGGGTCGCCCATCAGACAGACGTTGAGATCCCCACGGATTTTCAGGCCATCTCCCAAAGTCTTCGTCACTCCACCCACGAGGAGTAGCAACAACGCTTTCTTGACGTCGACATGGCCATATATTTCTGGAGCAATGCTTTGGGCCAGCTTTCCATATAACTGTGGATCGACTCTCAATTGAGCGATCTGTTGCTGAATTTCAGAGGTAATGTCCATGTCATTATACTGCTTTTTGAGTTGATGAATGTAGTGAGACTCGAGATAGGTGTCGGTGAGTAGTCCTGCACGTATGGCCTGATAACCGGTATAAGGAATGGGAAGAAAAATGCCTCCAAGATGTACAACATCGCCTGGACTCATGTGTCGGGTGAGATTTCCATGAACATGGACAGTCATTGAACGAGGAATGTGCCCCACGGGAACTTGGTCAGCCTTGCAAAGTTAACTTCAGCATAACGGCCAGCTGATTTTTGATAACATGCTTACCATCTCTTGAATCTTTACTTCTTGGAACGGGCTAAACCGGCAGGCTCTTGTCTGCATATGGAGAGAGCCATGGATACCGTTCTTCTTGCACTCATTTTCGTTTTGACAATCAGAAATGGGAGCAAATTGTTTGCTCGAGACCTCTTGAAAAGTCTCAGAACCACATACATCGCACGTATAGGCGTTGACCTTGAGCAACGGTTTGACCTCTGACACGCGTGTGACGATCCCACGAACAGTGATCAGTTTGCCCAAGTGGACGCCTTTTACATCTCGCACCGCCATGGCGATGTCAGAGCGGAGGGGCTGGAAGTAAAGGTTGCTATACTGAGTCAGAAATGATCAAGGATAATCGCGTGCGACATACTATCGCCGAAGAAGGTGATCCGGAAATCCTTCCTGTGTACCTTCCAACCTTTCGTTTCTCTCCCTGCGCTGGTGTAAAATGACATCAATCACTTCATCATGTTCACTTATATCCTTCGTCGGCAACGGCATAAGTTTGTCGACCACTTCGCTAAAGAGCGTGATGTATCGACGAGTATTGCGACAAATGCGGGATACAAGTTCGGCAGTCGTTTTTTCATGCTAAAGGTATTCATCAGATAGCTTCAGACAGATACTGCGAGCCACATACCTCAGCGATATCTTCAAGGTCAATCAGGAGCATTTCTTGTTCACGGTTCGCTACTTGTTGCTGCGCCGTAGGTCAATACCCTGACGATTGAAAACTCAAGGAACCTACGAGGTGCTGCATGTACTTCAAACCCCTCCGTCGTTCAGGCGTGTCATTGTCGAGATTTATATTTATGTCAGCTATTCCACGAGTCAGATCTTTCTCTTGCCCAACAACGAACGTTGAAAGGAAGCTGTGGATTCTCTCTGAGAACTAACATAAGAGAATCATATACGCGGTCAGGACAGATATGTACCCTTGTCAGCTTCATAGTCTGCATCAACCTTGACAACGGGAAGAGACATTGTAGGATGAGATGGTGGTAATGAGAGACCGCGACGCGATCATCCTCCAAATCATGCAGTAGCGCGACGCGTCGCGTCTGTTGTCACGCCCTGTCACATCGCGTTCGTGACATGCGCAACCCACTGTCTGTGTTGCACAAACAGGAAGAGAAGAGGTCCTAGAGCTGCCCCTCCTCGAATATCTGGGGAATCCTACATATTGACGCATGCCCTTCTCGACTCGCAAGCGTCTCCAGTCTGGAAATCCTACGGACGCATTCAACAAACGCCGGCCGCCAAATGTTAGATTGGATCCGGATCCACCTAGGGCCTATAACAATGACCAGCTTGCAGACCCTTCATTTTGGGTCGAGATCCCACTCCAGTCATCATCGTAAGCCAATATATACCTCTACTTACACGCGTAGTGTCGTTCAATTTGGCTTCAATTAGCGACGACTCCGGCCATACCTCGAGTGAGTTGATTGAGCACCATTTCTCATTCACTGGAAAATGACACTTTGTTCAGGTTGCCGCTATGTCATACCGGAAGACGAGGTAGTGGAGACCGATTTTTTGGAAGTTCCTGATGAGACACCCGCAGATGAAGACGGCGGTTTAGACGAGGTCCCAGTCCGCAAACTTATGGATTTCACTATTTATCATTTCCAAACGCATCAGCTCGTTAATGCTACTCTACTTATGAACTTAGATCATGGAGACGACACAGTGCACTGCTTCGGCGCCTCAGGTCTCGTTGCGTCATACGCTGAAGACGACGCAGACGAAGTGGAATTAGAAAGTCAACACAGCAACTCTGATAATTTCGATGACGAGCCTGAGGCGCGGCCGCGAGTCAAACTAGGTCACATTCTTGAATTTGATGTCCACCATGTTTCCACGGCTTCATCCAATAAGCTGCACTGTGATCCGTAAGTGTTTTCTGTGTTTCATCCCAGTTGTCCATGTGATTTTGAGCAGCTACTTACTGCTTCAAATCATTTGTGACTCTGGCTCACAATCCTATCGGCTACAATCTAATTTTATCTTAGGAAGATATATATTCGCACTGTGCATGCCTGGTATATTCTTGATTCACCATCTGAAATGTACTTCCCGTATTTTGTGACACTTTGGATTCAGCATCGCCTGCTGCACTTGATAATCACCACAAGCTTGGAGCGGCCTAGTATTGACTATGCTTCTTTTACGAGCTCTCTCCATGTTACTCCAATTTCTCCGGAGCCAGTGGCTCTTGCCTTTCGAGTCCTGAGGAGAGAGTTGACAAAATCGGATCTGGACTCAACTGATTGTGTATGTTCTATATTTGGGCCATGTACTGGAACTTACCAATATGTGTACAGCAATCCTATATCTCCCAAATGCTTAATGAGCTTTGCTACAGTAATGCTCAACTTCGCTCTGCCCTCGTCCAGGTTCCTCTCATTCGAACGCTCTGGCCTGATGCCTGTTCCTCCTTGGGACGGGGAGGATCTCTCAAACGCAAAATGGATGTTGAGAAGGACATTCTTCTCCATCGGAATCGAACTGTCGTGACGCCAGCTGTATCTCAAATCGCCCAGGGACTTTTTATGCAAACACTACAAGTCGGAGGGCAGTCTCTCGAAGGGACAAGTGATTCTGAAAGCTGCTCTTCAGAAAGTGAGCCGTATCATGCACATTATGATAACCCAGCTCGTATTGAGTGGGTCGAGAGCTCTCGGACGGCACCAAATCATTTCACCTCAGTGATAGTTGACGGGGTCGAGTACTCTGTACGCTTTCCTTAAGTTCTCTTTGTCTTGAGCCGTCTTTAAAATGATGAACACTCATTGTCAATGCAGGTCGGCGATGTGGTGATGGTCGAGAAGGGATCAGATAATAATAGTGTACGTGAGAAGAATGCCGCAACAAACCCATCACGGAGCACAAACTGGCTCGCAAATTCTAAATGGTACGTCGCCGCGTTTTTCTCGTTCATTTTTCTTGGGTGCGCATACAGTTGTGTGAGGCTATGGCGGAGTATCTGATGTCTTTATTCTACGGACGCTACCTTGCTATTGCGTTTCCATTTGCTCAACTTGCTTTCGTATAGGTTCTGTCAAATTGCTTATATGTTCGAGAAAGAGGAACCTCACGAATCAAAGTGTATTCAGCCAACTCGTCAGAAGTGCTTCCATGCCCGATGGCTTCAACATGGCTCGCAAACCATCCTTCAGGAGACAGCACATGCAAATGGATTATTCTACCTGGACGAGTGCGATGATCTCCCAGTTGAATGCATATTTCAGCGGTGCCGGGTGCGATGCTTGGAGTCAGGCGATAGTGAACCTCCGAATGAACCAGGTTTTGACTTTTTTGTGAGGTATGTCTCATTTTTATCTGAAATCATTCCCTAATAGTGGCCATCTTATAGATTTACATGGCGCCCAAAGGAGTGCGCTTTTGTAGAAGTCTCCCGACATGAAGTTTCGAATGTCATAGATAAGTGCAAGCCGTGGAAGAAATGTTACATCTGTGGAAAGCGATCGGAGGAGCGCAAGGATGCAGCATTTGTGCTACTCGCGGACGGCGGGGTCATGCGGCGTGGCGTATACTATCATGTCCACGATTTCGTATACGTGCGGCCTGACTCAAGTACAGCTTCATTCGACGGCTCAGAACCCGTTCTCAGTCGTATCGGACAAATTACGGAGCTGAAGTTCGATAGGAATGGTCAAGTTTTTGCGGTTGGAGTTCGGTGGTATGGACGTTATGCTGCTGTTGTCCGTCAGAATGGTCAAGATAGCCATAATGCTGGGTCTGTCTTTACAGACAGTGTATGTGCACACTTAATATTTGTTGCTGTATTCTTCATACTTAATCTTATGCTTTCAGCGCCGTTTCTTCTACACAGATGATGTTGATGTCATTCATCCTGGGGAGATTGAGCACAAGATATATGTTGCCACATCCACTACACATCTTCAAGAAATGGTGATCAATGGGTGGCTCAAGTATGAAGATCATTATTATGTTGATTGTGCAGCAAGTACAGCTTCTGTCCGGGAAGTTGATCAAATACACCCAATATGCAATGATAAGATCCCGCAATGTGATGCTTGCTTGAGATACCAACATTCATGGATGCAAAGCCAGGTCCAATCTTTGCAAGCTCATGGTCCTTTACGAGGTTTTGAACTGTTTGCTGGTGAGTTCTGTGATGATATACAATGCATGAGTGGGCCAGTTCAACTATGATGTTGTAATTCTATGCTGTTTATCTCTCAATCACCCTATGCCGTACTGTACGGGTTTGCCAGTACGGTACGTCTTAGGGAGAGGATATCCATATTCACGGACAACATGGGCACCAACCGTGCGACCCCGTAATTTATTATCACGCATTTCCCGTGTATCTGGGCTGATCTGGTACTATCCTTGGTATATAGGTGCAGGTGGACTATCAGTCGGCCTTGAACTTTCCCGTTTCGTCGATACAAAATGGGCTGTTGAATTCTCACCGAGTGCGGCATTGACATATCAGTGAGACTTCGAACCTATGAGAAAACTAACGGTTGACATGGCGCTTGAATAATCAGGAGGAACCATCCGAACACCATTGTATACAATCAAGATGTGAATGTGTTGTTGAATCACGCCCTAGCAGTTCACGGTGGTGTCACGCACACATCGCTTTATAGTCAGCACCCTCGCACTCCACAGCTCCTCCCTGATATGCCGAAACCTGGCGAAGTTGATTTTATTTATGGCGGTAACTACTGCGCATTCATTTTGATTGATGCAATTGTCATCTGTTCTTTCACAGGCCCTCCATGTCAGAGTTTCTCTGGTATGAATCACTACAAGGTCAGTCTTATTGCTACAATTATGAAAGATAGCCACAAAGTAATGTTGTATCTCTGTAGAGAGCAGATGACATCAGGTATAGCACACATTTGAACTATGCAGCACCTGAATTAACATGGCATACAGAAATACTCTGGTTTGCAACATGCTGTCTTACGTTGAATTTTATCAGCCCCTATACTTCTTGCTAGAGAATGTTACTGGATTGCTTTTCTACCCACTAAATGGTCGTCAAGAGGGGCGAGCAATTGTTGGCGGTGTCAAAATGGGGGTTGTGAAATTTATTCTGCGTACCCTTGTATCTCTGGGGTAATGTAACTTGCGAAAATTAAGTCATGTGTAACATTGACATAGTGAATGATGTTTCAGATATCAAGTACGATTCAAAGTCTTGCAGGCTGGACAGTATGGCTCACCTCAAGATCGGAAAAGAGTCATCTTTTGGGGAGCAAAACAGGGACTACCGCTTCCTGAATTTCCACTTCCGACACATTCCTTTCCTCGGGGTGTTCAAGCATTTAAGCTACCTACGGGAGATATATTGCGGCCAGTAACACGTTCCGATCACAGCGCCACGACCTCGAAGTCGATGCGCCTAGATTTCGCCCCACTTCTGCCGGTAACTGTGAATGAAGCACTCTCGGATCTGGTATGCTTTAGAGTCATCATAAATCGGAAAGTAACTGATTACACTTTTGAATCAAGCCTCCATTTGACTGGTAAGTCGGCATTGCGTGTTTTGTTGTGATTCACTCGTTGCATGAATTCTGAAAATCTGATACATAGGATCAATCCCTTTGTCTCCCTTCGTCCGACGTCACAACAGCTTGATTCAATACAAACTCGTCTTGCTGCTGGTATTAGAAGATTTGATGCCTTGACATCTCCTCACTCGACATATCCTGGCTTCAATGATGCCACACCATATTTGACGCTACCCATGAACTCATATCAAGAATGGATTCGTCAAGGATCGAGTAGCTTAGTCAAGCATCAGTACACTCGACGATTCGCTGCAAGTGTTGTTGAACGGTGAGGGTTCAAGACTAGTATCTGATATTCTACATCTGATACATCACCATTAATATATACAAGTGTTCTAAATGTACCATTTGGACCAGAAGCAGACCATACGGGTGAGCTCGCTACCACTTGAGGTCTTTTTTCTTATGCCTCTTGCGATGTAGATTTGCCTCACCAGTTACGCATCTCAAGAATGTGGCAGGGTAAAGTACCAAATCCCAAATACCGAGGCATGTCTGATTCACATTCGCTTTGAAAGTCCTGCTCACTGTTAAATAGGTGTCTGCGGACGTATTGATGAAAACGGGTTCTTTGGCACAGCACTGACGACGGTGATGCCAACCGGGCAATGTGGCAAGCTTCTTCATCCTAACGTGAGAAATAGTTTCATTTGCCAATATAAATACTGATCATCTTAGATTAGCAAAAGCGTATCGTGACGGTTCGTGAATGTGCCCGAGCGCAAGGATTCCCGGACTGGTATGAGTTTCACTCCATCAACATGAAAGCACCGGATGTTGTAGCAGACGTACGTGCTTTGAATGTCATGAATATCACAAAAGTTCAACGTAGACTCTGTCTGGTGGGTCTTACTTCCGGCAGCAACATCGGCAGATTGGCAATGCCGTACCAGTCCCGCTGGCATTAGCCCTAGGGAAAGCTTTGGGAAAGGCACTTTCGATATATTGGACACAGAAAGAGCGTGATGCGCTGAGTCCCGAAATATAACATGTAATGTGGCATACTACTATCTGTACACAAAAACGACAATTGTCAGACTCCCATTTCCACATTATGTTCAAGCCAATGTAAAGCTTCACGCGCATGATCCCTGACTTCATCCTCTATTGATTTATACAACCCCGGCGAAAACGGTGTTGTGGGACTTCCACTAATGGCTCCTCCACTATATTCGCACATGTGCCGCAGGGTCAAATCGATGCCAGCATCGTGCAACGACTTGTAACTACGCGGGTTCGCTCTGACCAGTTCTAGAATGCATCCTACAGCAGGGCGACGAATCCTAACAGGCGCATCAACTAAGCACTGCCTCAATGCTGCCATGATGCGTGAATTAGACAATATGTTATCCTGATGTGAGGAGCTGTTGGCAAGGTTGGCCAGAACGCATACCGCCTGAAACCAAATGAATGTACGTATAGTGTAAGAAACAGCAACATACCTGTTGCTGCACGTCCTCATTCTCCGCCTCTATTGCGACTGCCAGGAATCCCAAGAGCGTGTCGCTTCCCAATTCGTTGAATACCATCTCAACATCGTCTGCCCCGTCTGCGAGATGGCGCACTACATGGAACGCTTGCTCTTGGACTCCAGGATCCACATCCATGAACAAGCTACACATTGTTCAAGATGGCATCCTTCAATGAAATGTCCACATTCACACATACCTTGCTAATTCTTGCCAACCGATTACATCCATAACTTTCTGCTTGATCTCAACAGAGCTATGATACAGCAAGTTCTTCAGCGCCCAAAGAGCATTCAGGCGAAGACCAGATTCTCCTGAGTTGAGTAGTTGTCCTAGCTTTGGTAGTAGACCCTGGTCCATAAAATCCTATTTACAGAGAAAATAAGGCCTAATTTTTATCACGGATGGAGTGGCTGATAAAACGCACTGTACGCAGAGGTGAACAGTCATTAACTAGATTACACACCACACAAGATGCTGCATATATGACGCGCCGATCTTCGTCTGCTTTCGTGAAGAGCTGATACACCGCCATTCCGAGTCCACTATCGACGATATTCGTGCGTAACACGGCTACGGACCGACTAATCGCACGCACGCATTGACATGCCCCGTAGCGAACCCCAACATGTGGGTGGGCAAGTGATACTTTAATAGCGGGAATTAATTTCAAATTATCTGTGATGTCACATCGTATGTCGTCGTTGAATAGAGATACGGCGGCAACTGCAATCAAGGCAGCCTAGAAGGTACATCAGGATCGTTGAGCAAGAAAAAGAGAGATGCTACTTGCCTCACGAAGGGAGGACACGCTTTCTGGTTCGTCTTCCTCCCATTCAGATGTCTTATCTTCGGGCGTAACCTGTTTGATCAGTACAGCTAGCTTCCTCAGCGAGCCGCGTATGTAGGCCAGATCACAGAGCTCCTTGTTGTCCGTCACGAGATGCGCTACAAAAACGAAACACCATGAATGCCGCCTCATGTGATTTAGTGAATATAAACTCGCACCAAGTATGAAACATGCTTTCATCCGCGTTTGTGCCGAATCAGATTCTGATTCAATAAAACGGTTGACAACATACATCACAGTCAAAGCTGGTGAGTCGTCAGCAGTTAAAGAGTGATTTCCCAAACCAGCAGCGCGAATAATTTCTACAGCACTGATGCACATGAATCTTAGCCAAACCGATGTCTAGGGTGTTTGGACATACCATAGCGATGATGCAAGTCTAAGATCCGCAGAGCGCGATTTACAAAGAGCAAGGACGTAGGACAGAGTTGCTGAGGAACACAAGATCAGAACATTTGCCATTGTTCAATTCAAATGTCATGGTATACCTGGTCGATCAAATGCAGGTCTCGCCAATGCTACGGCTACAGATGAGTTGCCCTTCGCTAAGCATGCTAATGCACACAGCACAGAATTCTGAAGCTATTATGCGTGATTGTGAGCAGCGGGACCCGCGATCGAAAGGTGGAAAAACCTGCCTTGCTGTCCTTAGTCTGGAGCATAGTGACCAAACTCCTACTGACCCAGCCACCTTGTCTACTCGGCGATCTAGCCACATCGGGTTTCTCCCAGCCCCGCTTTCCTTTGACTTCACTGATACGTTCTCCCAGAGGAAGCCACTGAGAAACTAAAGTCCGATGTTTCGGTGTCCGGATAGCGGATGCAAGTAACTGAGCTATAGATGTCCTGACTTGTAACGATGGATCCACGAGGAGAGGGAGATAAATGTCCAAAACTTCTGCCTAGATTATATCAAACATCTGTGTTAGAGCGCCGAGCGTGACCCACGATGTCAGATGCATTACCTGGAAGAAATAGTCGAGTGCAACTTTGGCTTCGTTTCGTATGTCAGAAATACGGATACACAGACCCCATTCCGCAGGCCCTACTGCATTAGCAATTGAAACCGCCAGGGCTCGAAGCGCACGGGCAAAGGCTGCCTTGAGCTTGGGTGGTTCAGACGGTCGGAAGTAGGAGATTGCATAAATGAATGCTTGGTGGGCGTTGTAGCGCAATAATGTTTTCAGCGTATCGGGCGAGCCTGATTTATCCTTCTTCAGATCAATATCGACAGGATAGGGAGCCAGGCGTACCGTACGAAAGCGAAGCGATAACGTGTGCTGCCTCGATACGGATATCATCCTGAGTGAGCCAAGTGTCCTCTGATGATGGTGAATGTGTATGAATACAGTCCACAAGGCTTTCATCCGATCAGTAAATATCCTGAATAGCTTGTCCGCGTGGTAATATTCACCTCCCGATGAAGGTCTCATCACTAGCTAACGCCAGCTTGGCCGTTGGGTTTCCAATGACAGCATTCTTCGCCACTTTCAGAGTGGATAGTGTGACGGCTCGAATAGTCATTGCTGAATAAGTGTACGTTACACTGTTCAAAAGAACATGTCAAGCCTGCCAGAGGATATCTGTCGCCTTTGATCAGGACCAACTTGAGTACTTATCAAAGCCGCATTGGGGATAGTCAGATATTGTTACCTCAAGTACTTTTCGAAACCTATACTGTGTTTGAATTCCTGCTTGTTGAGTAAGAGAGATATGCAGGCCGTGAACACGCAAGTTTTGCTCCAAGAAGGATCTGGGTGTTCGACATGAAGTTGATCCGAACAGTGCCCGAGGTCGCGCAGGACCTCGGCTAATCCCCTATGAGCCTCAATCCCAAAGTTACCGAAATGAGGGTCTCCAGAGCCCTTAGGACCAGTCCCCGAAGGCCGAATATGGGGTCAGTGACCCTTCATGTTATGTTCCAGAGGTGACCGAAACGAGGGTCTCTGACGGGATCTTTGATGCCACAACCGCCGAATCGGGGAGTCTCGGACTGGTGAGGAGGAGGAGGAGGATAAGTTGGCAAAGGTGTGTGGACAAATACATAGTATTGCCGATATTGAACGGCATGGCTACCAAACGCTTTCGGCCATACTTCCCGAGCATTAATATGAAAATACATTATGATGTGACTGTGACATTCAAGGTCCTAGATAGAGCCTCGTCTTGAAACTTTGACTACTAGCCTGCTGCTCGTCGCAAACGCTCTTGTGCCCAAGCTAACCCGGAAGACGATCAGGGTTCACGCCAAAGCTTTCGGGTAGGCTTCAACCTAAATTGAAGCAAAAATATATTCGGTACACTTAAAACCGTCGTGTATTGAGACGTTGTGCTATTCTACGTAGATGCATTATATTGGCGATTTTTTGGCGATTTTTTGCGAGGTCCGATCCCATTTGAGCCGAAAATCGACCAATCTCCGGCAGGTTATGTGCTATCAGGCCGAATTGGGGCATGTTCCGACCGCCGAAAATGGGTACCCTTGGGATTGAGGCTCATAGGGGATTAGCCGAAGTCCTGGTCGCGCGCGTCTCTGAATTCATTTTCTCTAGCTCTGCGGAGATGGCAACACTTAGCACAGAGGATCTCTATGCTATTGCAGGTTGTCGTGAAACCATTCTCCAGCATAACTGAAATTGATGTCTTAATCTGAAATAGATTTCTGCTTGGTTCCCGTAGGCACTAACGAGCCGTCTGTAGGTTTCGAGACGCCTATTCTGCCTCACAGTCGAATACTGACCATGACGCATAGGTTGCTGAATATGTAGCAGAATGTGTGAGGGTCCTTGAGAAAACGGGGTTAACATACAAGGTACGTTTGAAAGGTCTCTTTGAAGTACGCTACACAGATGACCCCGAACCAGATGCAGTGAGTTGCATTTCATACAATGTGCAGCCCGTCATTTGTATAATATCATTCCACATAGTGGTTATGGAACCAACTTAGGCATGTGGCTTCCAAATTATTTGTACAGTACAAAGAATCCTGACGCACCCTTAATAGAAGGGCCTTGGTCCGCAGTCATGAAAGCCATCCACGATTGTCATGCCGCTGTCCACGTAAAGGGCGCACCTCGTATTGCCACTGACATTCGTATCGGAACACGTGTTGATAGAAAGATAGAACCGGGCACTGGTAACGAGCACAAAGTCAGACGTGTTGAGGAGATTATTGCCAGAGATGCGAAGGCATGAGCAGGGATTGCATTGAATTGAAAGAAAGCAGGACAGTGTTGTACATTAAACCGCTTCGTCTCAATAGTACCACCGTGCTTGCTCACTTTTCTCATCGCTGTGCGAACGAGATTACTGTACAACTTCGTACGAGGATTCTACTACTTAGTAAATCCTGAGATCTGAGACTCCGCGCCGCAGGTGGCGTGACGATTTTCTCCGAGACGCGCTTCCGCACCGCGTCTCGTAAGTTACCTCAGGCTTCTCCCAACTCAAACACTGCCAGCTATACGCTCCTCGTCCCCGTCCAATATCTTTCTATGATGGCTTCCATTGCGCGGTTACGAGCTGGCCTCCCTCGTACACATAAAATCGTATGTTTCGATCGTGCATACATCTTTATTTTCTTGCTGACTACGTGGCATTCAAAAGCCTCTTGTTCGCTCGTTGCAAACAGCAGCAGACTCGACACAACTCCAGGAGGATGCATCACACTCAGAACCTTTCTCGGTCAAGCTTCATGAAGACTCTTTTCGTGGTTACAAAACCGATACCCCCGACCTGGAGTTGCAGGTCACGAAGGGGGGCCTTCTTGATATGTACAAACAAATGAGTGTGATGAGGCGCATGGAACAAGCCGCGGATGCTCTCTATAAGCAGAAGCTTATTCGTGGTTTCTGCCATCTCGCTATTGGACAGGTGCGCTGTATGCATTCTTTCTCGATAGATCCGAATCAATGCCTTTTGTGCATATCTTAGGAAGCTGTATCGGTTGGGATGTCAAACGTGCTCACACCTCAGGACAACATTATTTCCTCCTACCGTACTCATCCTTTCGCAGTTCTGCGCGGCGGCACCATAACGGGCTTGATTGGCGAGCTTCTTGGCCGCCAGTGCGGTATTTCGAAGGGTAAGGGTGGATCAATGCATGTCTTCACCGAGTCTTTCCAGGGTGGACATGGTATTGTCGGTGCACAGGTTCCATTAGGTGCGGGTCTTGCATTCGCGGCTAAGTACCAGGAGAAGCCGGTCGCGACGTATACTATGTACGGTGATGGTGCAAGTAATCAGGGCCAGGTGTTTGAAGCATACAACATGGTACGTAGTACCAGCCTCCGCTTCCTGTCATGCGCTCATGTTGTTTGTGACCTTCGCGGTTTAGGCGAAGTTGTGGAACTTACCATGCGTTTTTGTTTGCGAGAACAACAAATATGGAATGGGTACCTCCGCCGAGCGTAGCTCTTCGAACACTGAGTACTACACTCGGGGTGATAAGATCCCTGGTATCCAGGTATGTGTGTAGCGAATAACTAAGTTCTTTCGTCTCACATCGTTTTCCGTAGGCCAACGGCATGGACGTTCTTGCAGTCGTGAAGGCCGTGCAATATACTAAGGACTGGGTTGTCAATGGCAATGGCCCTATTTTACTGGAGTTTGTCACCTACCGTTATGGTGGTCATTCGTACGTCGCTTCCGATCCTCTATATGCTCTGTGCTCACACTTATTTATGACTTTTTTGTAATACGATAGGATGTCTGATCCTGGAACGACTTACCGCACTCGTGAGGAAATCCAGCGCATGCGTAGCACTCAAGATCCCATCCGTGGCCTGCAACACTACATTGAGGAGTGGGGCTTGGCATCGGAAGAAGAGCTCAAGGTTGGTCACCTCAGTCCTTCCACCACTAGATCACGCTAATGTGCGTATTTATAGAAAATGGATAAAGATGCGAAGGCAGAAGTCGATGCCGCGGTTGAGGAGGCCAAGGCTTCTCCCTTCCCCGACGACTCGCAGCTCTGGACTGATATCTATGCGGAGGGCACTGAGCCACCTTTTATGCGTGGTCGGGAGCGAGAGGAGGTAAGTTTACGTATTAACTCCCTGATCATTCGCTTATTCTCGCCTAGACCCATGCCTTCTAATTGAGTGGTTACGGATGATTCCCTTGGATGGTGTTAGTAAATTACAGTTATTGATGCATTTCGTAATGAATAAATGGTGTCTTATTTTCTAAAAGTTCTGAGTGGGATGATGAACGATTGCACTTTGTGGACTTCATTATCGTCACTACTACCCTACAAAGACTTGGCTGGAACATTTACAATTGTTCCATCATCTCCTATTACTTTGAAGCGGACTGCAGTGATTGAGAGTATGAGGGGGCAGGACGTCAAAGTAGACAAGAAAGGACGCACGGATAGTGAAGAGCTCCCCTTTAGCTTTTCTAATGCTTGTAAAATATAATGTACCGGCACCTACTGTCGCTGTGAGAGAAAAAACACCTAACACTGTGACAGACGCACGCTTGTGTCCTTTCACTCGGAAGCTAAGGTCAATATTACCCTGCATCAAGTGTATCTGTATCCACATGCAGAGTCGTACAACGATAAAGACAGCTTGATCGCGGACAGCTATATTCTAACTTACCGCACCATTTATCCAAGGATCTCCGTTCAACCACCAAACTGGCTCAGGACGAATAGCTTCTCCTAGGACTTCGGACAGCTCCGGACTTTCGCGTACCGTCTCCATGATTTGGCGTACGACCGAACTGGACAACCTCTCTTGGTTATGACTCCAGGTAAGAAACGCGACCCATGCGCCTACACCCACACTTCCGAAAACAAGTACGATGGGCCATTTTCTCTATACGGAAAAATTAGCTAAACGTTCAGAATTACTGGCCGTAAAGCTCTACTTGGAGTGGAGGTAGATCCCGCTGAGGGCGTTGGTACGGTCGTGGTTTGGATGGCGAAGAAAAGGTTTCGGTTGGCGGGCTATCTTTAGGCGGAGGTCGTGGAAGCTCAGTAGTTGTCGCAAAAGTCCTAGCCGTTTGTCGTGCTGAAATTCGACATGACCGCCATATACCGGGCAACGCGGTGGAAACGGTGGACATGGCTGTCGCGAGCGGTTAATATCCACCAGGACGCTCTAGAACGAGTCGGAAGAGGTAAGACTATTCCTGATCTCCCTGCTCAGGCAGCGAACTGATGGTAGCAGAAGCCGATGTGCCTTCAAACAGTTTGGGTCAAGTTGGGCCGTAAGCGCGCGCGAACTTGAACTTTTGAAGCGCATCCAGGCGGGCGCCTCCTGGCCAAAAACATGAGTGCAGCCATTTCTCTTGCTCCTTCACCTTCACCGCGGACCTTCGCCCCGTCTCCGCAGCCACAGAACCCCATTTCCCTACGGCTATACAAGGTTCTAGGCGCTAGCTTCGAGGATGAGAACACCAAAGAGGCGCTACGCACTCTTGCCGACTTCTACACATCCAAACCCGTTGGCCATACGAAGGGTAAGCAGGTGAACCGCGATGCACACGACCCGGAACAAGACGAAACGGAAGATATCGACCCTAACAAGGCTTTAATTAAGCCTGCGATTAACGGGCCAGTCTCTGCCGAGGCATGTCCTGGGGAGATTGCCGCAAGGGCGCGCAAACAGCTCCGCCGGGATGTAGAGAGCAAGCTAGCAGAATCTAGTCGCAAATTCTTGAAGGCCTTCGGTGAGGTAGACAAGGTATGTCGTGACTCCAGGTGTTGTTTATTTGCGTGGGAGCGCGCAGGAGCACATAGATCCCCCCATTTACGGCTAAGCCTGATTGAATTGTGGCCGGGCGTGCTTATATTCATATGAGCTAATGGTTATGTCTTTGGTTGTAACGACTGCCTAGAATATCTCTGTTTGCAAGTTGTCCTCGTGTTCATAAGCGGCTCAGACCATCTGCTTAACCCATTCGTCACTTTCTCTACGATACACAGGTTATCCGACTGACATCCATGCAATAGCAATTGGATACCTTGCAAAATTTACTTGGTTCTATGCGCATACGATGTGACGAGGCACAAATGCAATTGGAGGAGACCAGTGGAGCGTGCAAATCCCTTCTCGACCGGGCGGGCAGCCTACGCGAAGAAAGGTATGCGCTGCGTTCCCTGGATTTCAATGTCTGATGCATGCGGTGTAAATAGACAGACAATAGCTGCCCGACAATCCATCATCTCTTCATTCCTCGGAAGGTTTACCCTTGACGAGGAGGAAAAAGAGGCCCTTAGTCTGAGGGATGTTCCTGTGGGTCAGCGGTTCTTCTCAGCTATGGACAAGGCAGAGCATATACGGAACGACTGCCGTGTCCTAATGATCAGCGAAGACGGTCCAACTAAAGCAGGGTGCGCTTTCAAGTTGGTCAGAGTGTGACATTTGGACTGACTGTCATTCCACGAGTAGCGTGGATATCCTGTCAACTATATCAGGATATCTCGAGCAGGCATATCAAAAGATATTTCGCTGGTGCGGCTTTGAGTTCCGGCAGATGGGGCGAGATACACAGCTCGAGGTGAATCCGTCAATGTGCGAGGCCGTACGAAGACTGCGCCAGCGTCCTGAGCTCTTGACGTAGGGTAACTCATCATTTAAGAGTCTCGCACCACTGACAGTCGCATGAATCATGGTCTAGGGAGGCTCTGACTTTTCTATCCCAAACTCGACAAACGGCGCTCCTATCTGCTTTCACAAACGCGCTCACGCGGGGTGGACCAGGCGGCTTACCACGCCCGATTGAACTACACGCTCATGATCCCCTCAGGTATGTGGGCGATATGCTTGCTTGGGTGCATCAGGCGATTGCGGCGGAGCGCGAGTTTTTGGAAAGCTTGTTCGGAGTACGAGGTGATGGCCGGATGGTTGGTAGTGTGAGAAGGTTTAGGGACAGTGTAGAAGAGGAGTGGATGAGCGAATTGATGGATGCAGCGGTTGGGAAACTGTGCTCGCCGCTGAAGGTCAGCGACCCACCCTGATAATAGCTCTTGTTGAACAGATCCAATTCTTTCTAGATACGAGTGCAACAAACGGTCAAGTCGCAAGAGAGCGGCATTACTTCGTACAAAATCGCGAACCTACTACAATTTTATCTGCTGACCATGCAACGGACGATTGGCGAGGATGCAGTTCTTTCGCGGACATTGAAGGAGTGAGTGTACGCTCAGAGCAGCCTTTACCGCACTAACAATGGCCTGCAAGGATGACGGACACAGGTTATCAAATTTTCTTTGATGCTATCGAGGCACAAAGCCGTTCTCTACTCCGTGCAGCGCCAGTGAGTTATTTTCGTCCGTGAACATCCCGGCTATCCTAATCCAAGGTCTGATGATCACTACAGGATGTAGACGATATGAGCGTATCCCCTCCGCTGCTAATTTTAGATCACACCCAAGTCCTGCGTGAAATCATGGTTGTATACGAATCATCTCTGCTCGGCGACGAGACGCAAGAGCAAATTCTCTCCGGATTCCGAGATATCCTTGATAGAATGATGGACCCTGTCATAGAGATGTGCTTGACGGGATCCGAGCAAAAGAAAGGGATGCGCCCAGAGTGGGATAGGGCGGTATTTGTATTGAACACGTTAGGTTACTTGCAGAGCGTCATGGAGCCGTTCGCATTTACGGTGGAAAAGCAAGATGTCATTCAGGGCCTAGTCGAGGCGAAAGTATTGCAGTTGACGGAAGAACATGTAAGACGTTTGAGCTTGCTGAAGAAGACTGTTCATATTTGGTTCAATTGACAGTACAACATAGTTCTGCGAGAAGCAGGATTGGACGAGGCCATCACGGTAATCGAAGCTCATCAGGCAAGCGTAAGTGGTGTCGAGGTGGATTAGAATGAATGGCTAATATATGCTCTAGGAACCGCTTTCGCGTGTCCCGGCTACACAACCTACACGCTTGCAGGGAGCCTTGCGCAAATTTTCGCTATGGCTGTCGGGGCTGGAGGTGGTGGACTCACCCCGTTTGTCTCGACTGATGGTACAGGGCATAGCAGTCCGGATTCACCAGGCTGCGCTAGAACGGGTGGCAAGTGCGTACCAGCGGCTGTGCGAGGAGGTGCGACGGCCAGAGAACAGATACGAGGCGGCGGCGACGCTATTGGGCAGCGAACGGCCATTTGGGCAGGTTCACCTGCTCTGGCAGATATTCGGGTTGCAGCCTGATCAGGACTGAACATCAATAATTATTGTGTGATTCCTCTAGGCTCTGTTGCAGATTTGGCGACAATTGGATGAATTCAACTTGTATTCAGTCTCCGCTCGAATAACTACACTTTGTATAATCGCGATCTCAGCGAAGCAGTGATCTTGTTGATCACTGTTTGGCTTGTGGCTGCCCCCTCAGCCTGGATGAGTGTGGTCTTCGAGAATCGCGATTTGTGCATTTGTGCTTGACTTGTACTTCAATTTCCCTTATGTCCCTGGACCAGCAAATTGCTCTCGCTCGTCCAGCGCGAGGTGAATCTACGCATCTTAGCAAAACTGCCCGTCAGGTCGTGGCTCCCTTCCTCCAGAAGCTATATGAGTACGTAATCCTTCACCGAGTTGTTCAAATTGTACCTCGTTTACTCGTCAACATAGAATTGTCAACGATCCTAGAACAGATGAACTCATCCGATGGTCTGAAAATGGGGATTCTTTCTATGGTACGTGATAGTAACATCTCTTACTCTTATGACTCTCGTAATTTGCTGCTTAGTGCTTAACCATGAACGACTCGCGCGCGAGGTGCTAGGCCGTTGGTTCAAACACGAGAAATTTACGTCATTTGTGCGACAGTTGAACATGTACGGCTTCCACAAGATTCCCCATCTTCAACAGGGCGTTCTCAAAAGCGATTCTGATACTGAGTTGTGGAACTTCGAGCATCCCCACTTCCGTCGTGGGCAACCTGACCTTCTGTGCTTGATCCAGCGCAAAAAACAGTCAGCCACAGCTAGCACCGATGATGCAGACCCCGGCGAACCTTTCAATACTGCCGCATCGTTCTCGAATGCATCTGGTCAGGTCCTTGACATCAACTCAATCGTGAATGGCGTTGCTGCTATAAAACGCCATCAACAAGCTATATCCACCGACCTCAATGCTTTGAAATCGTCTAACGATTTGTTATGGAAGGAGGCGTCCTTGACTCGCCAGCGATATGACAAGCACCAGGACACAATCAATCGTATACTCAAGTTTCTAGCGGGCGTCTTCGGCCACACCACGGAGGGCATTCATAAAAACGATGACAGTCGTTCTCCAAGTGTTGTTCCGCGTCCGCGTCAGAGGCTCATGATCAGTGATGGCAGGTCGTCGAAAGGGAAAACAGTGGAGATCGCCGACGTCGATGACGATGATAATGGGGATGCGGTTCATACAGTACCCCCGCAAGAGAGTACACATATACCACTCGTCGGTAAGTTACCATACGACATGTTACAACGCGCTCTATACGAAATACATCGAATGGCAGGACAACTCTCTACCGTCGAGTCCCCATTGCTATCGCCAGCGCCTTCCGTGGTGCCCTCAGAAACCTTTGCTGTTACTGACGCCGATGCCGCCTCTCCTCTGACCGATTATTCTGCTCGTCCCCCGATGGAACCCGCTGAAGTTTTGTCAAGGACAAACGCAGCCTCTGACCACGTCTCCGCAGCAGAAGTGTCTCCGCGCGCTGGACCCCCTTCAACAATACCTCGAGTCGACACTTCTATTTCACCGTCTCACCCATTTTCTTTAGCGGATTCCAGTCATCCGGATAGTGCGTGGCAGGCAGCCATACAGCAGGTCCTCAGTAATCCTGTTCAAATGCAGCGATTGATGCAGGCTATTGCTACCCAACAAAATTTCTCTGTGCCTCCGCCCGAATCTACCGCCTCGCATGATCATACATCTATGGGCCAGCTTGCCCCCTATAACTCTGCGTATGATTTTAACCGCTTTCAGTCTACTCTGCCCGTCTCTTCTTCAATGCCTCCGCAATCATTCCCCGTTCTCAGTGCAGCAAATGACATGCCGTCGCTCGAGCCGTTTATTGAGAATGCCTCGCGGTTGGAGAAAACACGCCGCGATACAATGGCTATCGAGGCGGAGATGGATACATTGCAGTCAAGCATCAATATGCTCATTCGTGATTTGGGGATGGATCCGAGTACTCTTCACGTGCCTGGGCACGATGGCACTGCCGAGGCCAACCAAGTTTCTGATGGTAGGATACAGATGGATGAGCTGCATTCGGACGGAATCCACCCTAGTTCGTCCATATTGCCCCCTCTTGATTCGCAAGGAGATTCGAATCCAGATACTTTGTTTCTCGAATCGTGGTTAAACGGGATGTCCTCAAACGATCCGACCATTGACTATACGGATGTCACTGATCACTTCGATCCCTCTGCGAGAATAGATGGCATTGCCGTTGGCGATGCATCGACTGAACAGCTCACTGCTATCCTTGACGAGGTCTCTGAAACCACGGCTTCGCCCCACACACACTCTCCCGAACTCCGTCCTGTCCCTCAAAAGCGTAAATCCGATGTCGCTGGCTTTTCATTACCAAATATCAATGAGGTCGATTCAGTGACCGCCCCTGGACCGAAGACGAAGCGCAAGCGATAAATATGTGTTATTACCCACTATGATAATTAGAGCAGTGTTGTATCAATATCTACCTTGTGTATCCTATGACCACCGGGAAAGAATAGTATGTATTACGGAAGGGGAGGATACATCCCGTATTCCTTCATTACTCAATGCTCACGGGCATCGATGATGTTAACTGTAGAGGACCTCATGGAGGTACTTGGTTTCCGCGGGGCACTGGATCAGCATTGTATGACGATAGGACGGCGTCCATCTTGACAGGATGGTTGACACTAGCGATCTCTTTGTCGATAGCTTGTAATCGAGCGTGAGTACGTAGGTCTTCCTCCTGGGTCTCCTGAATATATTCTTTCGGCGGACGCGGCATAAGCGGCGGAGGTGCTAACGAGACCCTATCTGCGGGCGGGAGACTATGTACGTAGTGTCCATTTGTAGTCGGGGGAGACCACAACGATGCAGGCATGGGGGAGGCAACCAAGTTGCCGTTGGTCTTCAAGGTCCGATCTTCGGTCTCAAATTTCGCCTTCAGTCTTGCTTTCTCCTCCGCGGCAGTGAGAGTTTGAGATCCAGTGAATGCGGCTCCTGGTGGTATTGGTGGAGAGCGGGGTGGTGTTGGAATAGGACGCCCACCGGAGATAGACGGCGAGGCACGAGTTGTGCGTGGGGGCGGCGTTGGTATGCCACCCGCTCCTAAAGCACCTAAAGCCATGGCATCCTGCGTTTCAAACTTGCGACGAAGCATTTCCTTCTCAGAAAAAGCGCTTGGCATTGCCTGAGAGGGCATAGGCGAGGATGAAGCCGGCTGTGGCAGTGCTGGGTTAAGAGCTTGAAATCCAGCAGAGTCAGGATTAAGTACACTGGGCGACCTGACGGCCAGCTCTGCAGCATCGCGCGCTTCAAAAGCACGACGTACTCGCTCTTTTTCAGATAAGTATGATAAATCAGAAGAAGAAGAAATGAATGGTGGTGGTGAGTCAGTAGATGCGGTTGTAGGCGGCGATATAGAGTTGGATGGGTAAAGAGCGTCATAAGCTGTGGGAACAGAGGCTGAAGGTGCGGTTTGCGGAGCTGAACCGTAAGCAGCGCTGTGGGTACGGTCGACTGCTGCCTTCGCCTCGTAGTATCGGCGCAATGCGGCCTTTTCGTCTTCCGCGGATAGATAATGAGTCGCCTGAGGCTTCGTAATTGGAGCCGATGAAGAACTACTTGCAGCTGCGTTGCTTGCGCCGTCCGGAATAGACGTATTCAATGAGGACACATGAGCTTGTTGACTGCCTGTTGAATCACTTCTGCCGTGCAAAGACGTAGGCGAACCTGGAGTCCCATTATCGAGGCCCTGAACTCGCGCGACTGCGGCTTGTGCTCTGTGGAACAACATAGCTTTCTCTTCTTCGGCAGTGGGCCACCGATTCTGTGGAGGCGATGCCGTAGCAGAGCTCTGTGTGGTACTAGCCGCATTTGCAGGGGGTGTAGACGGACGGTTCTAGTGAGCGAGAGAAATTGAGTCATGAAAGAACAGCATGGCCCTAAATGGAACTTACAGTGGTCGTGGAATAGGAGATGCCGCGCGTCCGCTCAACGTTGGCCACGGCTGTTTCATACAGCCGACGCTTTTCCTCCTCTGCAGTCATCCATCTCGATCGGGCAGTGGAATCAATTGATTGGGCTGTAGAAGGACGATTTGCTTGTGAGTTGCTACTCTGGCGCTCTGTGTGTGTGTACTCCTGGGCTTCTTTGTCATTCAGATTAGCAACAGTCAATCTGGCACCCTGGGCCCTTGCACTTGAGGCACGTTGACGGGCAAAAGTAGTCTCGCTGGCATATGGAGCAGTAAGCGAGGATGAGCCGATTCCTTGAGCACCACCAATGGTCTGAATGCCATAATTGCTTGATTTTTCTGTTGATGCAGTAATCGAAGACTGGTCGTAGTTCGTGTCTTTCCCCGATTCCGAGCGATTCACCCCGAATTCGTCCGGTCTACTCCCTCCAGTAGTGCCATTACCTTTATCGGGCGGCGCCGTATTGTAGTGACTCGTCGAGCGGCGGGAGATAACAATGTCGGCCTCGGAGGAGGCGTACGGGTGTGATGGGTATGGGTGTGATGGGATGGCCTGCACGACCGATTCGGTAGTCTGCTGAGTTGCCCCCGATTGTCCAGGCAAGCACACGTTCGGTGCCATCCCAATGCGCCTGAGGAAGCGCGTGAGTATATCTCAAGTATAGATAGGTCAACTTACTTCATCGCTTCTAAAGAAACATTTCTGCCGACGGAAACAGGATTAAGAAGTATGCAGTAACTAGAGAAGCGATACGCACCTCGGCCAATTCGAGACAATCAGTGGGAGCTCAAGTGTTACATGTTGGCCGTTGTCCATGAACACCTTCACAACAAGAGTATACGTGATATCAATATGTCTTGCAGCATTGAGTGTGGCAGTCGTGTGATCAGAGGGTATCGTAACCGCCAACTCTGCTTTGTGTTGTGCTCCACCAGATAGCACCACGTTGACCGGCACTTTCTGTTCGCCAATATGCGCGACCTTGACAACAGGCGCAGCCTTTTTGCCTGAGAGATGTGCACCGGCGCGAAAGACAGTGGATTCACGAAGTGTGAACTCGTATCCACGTAAGGTCCCAGATGCGATAGTATCAGCTCTGACAGTCGCTGAAACAGAGACACGATCGCCTGGTCCGTAACAGGTGCGCGAGCGGTCAACCGTTAGGGTCACACCGCCTTCAGTATGAGTGCGTGTATCTGGCTGCTGATAAACAGGCCAAGTTGAATGTAGCTCATGTTTGTCAATGATAATGGGCGAGGTGACTGATATGACGGTTGGCTTGTCTCGCCGAAGCAGACCCCTACGTGAAACGTAAGACATATTCATCTGATAGAACGGTAAATACATACTTCTTCCCTTTTATGCAGATAGTAGCGATCAATTCATACTTGATACCAGCTGGACATCATGCAATTAATGGTACAGCTCTATTGCCTGTCACTGCGAGACGCACCGCCCTTCTCCAGTGCAATGCTAGGCGGAATTGACTCCGGAATTCGAATGTAGAACGGGAAATCTTGCTGCGAGAAAAACATTTGACTGGCTAGCCGTAATACATGACACAGCCACTTACAGTATACAGTGTCCCGTACTCCTCGCTCGATTGCCATACATTGATGGGACTCTGGCCAACAAAGTCGAAATACGTATTCCCAACGCCACCTCCAGGCAGCGTTTCGACCTTCTTAAGCTCTATTCGAACCCATTTCGCCTTGACACCTTGAGGACCGATGCGCACTTCAATTGCCTAGGCACGAAGCTAGGTTAACGAAGCTCCTAATACGACTGAAAATCTCTTACACCCTTGACCGCAGCTTGGGGACGATCGGGTGCCCCAGGTGGGATCCCAGGGTATCCTGCGTTGTCCTTCGTTAGACGCGCCTCGGCTTCTGGAAATCAGAATATACCTTGTACAAACTCGATATTGGGGGGCGGCCGAAGAGTTCTAGAGACGCGCTAAGCCCACTTTCGCGAAATGATGGGAATAACAACCTACAGCTTTACGAGCGACATTCCGCTCCTGAGGGTATATAGCGTACAGAGAAAGAGGTGTGCATGATACACCGACCATCAATCATCCCCTTGCCGTTTCAGGACCTACACGGAGACGTCCCGCTGGAGACCGGCAAACTCCGACCTATAGGCTGCTTCAAGCGTCAAACTCATGCAGAACTACCACGCTCGCAATTTTGAACACCTTTCTCTGAGTATCATTCCGCACTCATGGCTGCTAGTTTTATCGGGTTCGCTCGCTTTTTGTACAGAGACCTGGCATAGCTACTAATGCTCAGCTGTACAGAAAGCCGATTTCTCTAATTTCTCACTCAGATGTACGATACAGAGGCATCCTCGCGGGCATCGACCCGGCCGCGTCCACTATCCAACTCTCTAATGGTGAGCACAGCAGATTGTTTACAACTCATGTCGTTTCTTAAAAACAAACCTAGTGTATTCTATGGGAACGGAGTCGCGACGGTAAGTCTTCATCCATGTGTTACCTTGATGAAAACATCACGGATGTAGATGAGCACTGCTCAAGTATCCGAGAGCGCATAAAAATCGTGTGGATTGTTCCGTTGCCTTCCTTCTGATTTATCCTCTACTTTTTCTGTTTTTGTGCTGTGATGTAAACTGACGTGTCTTCCTTCATGTGTAGACCACCGGAGCAATTTATACCGCCCGTTCAAGAACCGTACACCTATATAATCTTCCGTGCGTCAGAAGTGAAGGACCTCGCCGTTGATGAACCTCCTACGCGGCGGAACGTAACCGATGACCCTGCTGTTCTTGGGGTGAGTCTACTTCCGTGTTCGCCGTGAGTTCGAGAGATGAAACCATTAACGGATGTGAATGGGCTTTTGGCTCACGTGTCCGAGAGCGCATAATTTCGTGTGGATAACCCGTTGCCTTCCTTCTGATTCCCTCTGTTATGTATCATGCGATAGGAGAATCATCACTTAACGTATCATACTTAGGCATCTGCGCCAATGATGGGTGCCGCTGCCTACCCCCCGCCATATCCACAGCCATACCAAGGACAGGTGCCCGTTCCCCAGGTCCCTCAGCAGCAGCAACCTACGCCGTCGTCCCAGCCGCAACGTCAACAAACCTACCCTCCCCGACAGCCCTCCGCACAACCCGCTGCCACACAAGTAACCGCTACAGCCACTACTCCACAATTGCAACAAAATGCCACGGCGGCGAGTCCGGCAGCAGGCAGTCGTAACGGACGCAATAGCTCAATACATTCTGCGACAGCTTCTTTGGAGACAGTCGAGCGAGCTCTTGGCGACTTACGTGTGTCTAACTCTGCGGGCGGGGCTGTGAATAGTGCTGCTCAGCGATCAGGTGGACGTCGCAACCGTGGACAAGACCCTAAGACTGGCGATCTCCGTGTGCCCTCTACAGATTTCGATTTCCAGAGTTCCAACGCGCGATTTGACAAGTCAGCGTTATCACCCCGTGGGACTCCAAAGGCTGACGCCGATGAAACTGGAGGGAAGGAGAATGGTGAGAATATTGAAGCAAAGGACGATTCGGGAGCGTACAATCCCAAAAAATCGTTTTTCGACTCGCTTTCTTCGGGTAGCAATGGGCCGTCAGTGGATGGACGCGGGAGGGGAGGCGGACGTCGCGGCGGGGGACGAAACAGGAGGGAAGAAGAGAGAGAGCGTAATGTTGCGACATTCGGCGAGCCTGGCGGCGTAGGTCTCATGGGACCTGGTGCATATGTCGGTGGATGGGGAGGTTACGGGCGGAGGGGCGGGGGAGGCAGGGGCCGGAGGGGTATGGCTGTAGGTGCAGCATCTCGCTAGGTCACTCTTCCGGCTAGCGGAATATTGTCATGATTTTGTTTGTTATGGGCCAATCGCAGGTGCGATGTGTGAGCTTTGCAGAGGCTATGTTATCGAAAGTCTTGTTGTTCCTATACTTAGTGCCGGAACGGCACGGTGTATAGATCTGTCATGCTCTAATCCCTGCCCCGGCTATTCCCATACATTTCGTGAGATTTTCCTACGACTTCTGTGGTCTGAAATGCTCTGATATGCATCGATGTCAGCGATTGTCTTGTTCTTTGGGGATGTGCTAGGGCTGTGCAGCCCTGCTTGTGGTCAACGGTGGGTTGTGTGGGTCCGTGCACGTCGAACTGCCACACTGAGTTCCTGGCTTCACCTGTCGGGCCTGACACTGCCGTCGGTACCACTCGTATGACATGAAGCTTCCGGGCAGTGAACGAGGTCGTCAATCTTCTGACGAAGACTCTCTCTTGAGTGCGGAGCTACCTGCTGCATGCACTCACATCTCGATCTGGATGGCGGAGTACTTTGGAGATGTCAGATTTTTCCAGTATAAAGAGCAGACGGCTGGAAAGGTCAAGATCATCACACCCGAGTAGTCTCTCGACACTGTATCCGTAACTTGGTGCTTATATACACTGATTTTCATGTCAGAGATTACCGCAGAGATACAACAAATCATTCAGGGGTGAGCTTCCTTCCAGCCTCAGCATCTCCCCCATGTCGCTCACAATTTCGGAGCGCAGGAGGTTGTCCAACTTCTGTAGCCTTTCCGCCTTTGGTGCGCCTCGTAATCGAAGAAACGTCTGCATGAATGCTCACCGTTCTTGCTATCTAGCTCTCTATTACTACAACTTCCTCCTTACATTTCCAGATGAAGTGAGAGTCGTGTGGCGTCGTCGACTGTCCGTTCCGAACGTCCTGTACATTCTGATACGCTACTCGACCCTGGTGTATGTTGTGATCATAGTTGCCTACCTAGCGGTGGATTTTGGATGCAATGTAAGTCTATCCTTGATTGATTCACAGATTAGCTACTCACCAGCATACGATAATGGTTGTAGACGTTTGTCGGTTCCTTCGCTGCTGTGCGCTCACGCTAACTCTCGTGTGTTCAGATCTCTCATCATCATGTCAACGGGAAATGGCTTAGAATGTCTCATGTTTATGCTCTGGGCAGGTATGCTTTCAGTTTCGGTAGGAAGCTGAGCTGACTCCTTGTAGCTTTTGCCGCATTTCGTATATATGCCATAAATGGACACAGCTGGAAGATGCCAATCGTAATCCTGGCTATCGGGCTGATTCCACCAGCTACACTTCTCGTACGTGTTAAAATCACCGAAATGGCGCAATCTTATAATGAAGTCTTAGTATGCATACTGTCATTACACACTGGTTATACTGCCGTTTTGGGGGTGTACACCTGCCCCCATACTTTCTTCTACAGCCACCATGCAGCAAGTCCCGTTCCTTAATCTGCTATTCATATGTTCACAGCTATTTTTGTTAGGTGTAAGATACACCATATGAGCATAAAATTTCGTTCTCGATGCTCACAGAATTAAACAGTGAACCTCCTAAATCATGTTTCCATGATCGTAAACGATTTCTTGGCTCTCGTGGCTACTTGGCGTGTTACATATCGAACAAGCATGGAAATGCGCATGCTCACAACTGAACGTATTCCTTTTTCGACTTTGGTTCTCCGGGATGGTGGGTATCTCCAGTAAATTCGTTTTCGCGAATATATTCTCAAGCACTCGTGATTTAGGTACCGTGTACTTCAGGTATGAATGCGACATCACTGTCAACGTGTGATACTGAAGTATAATTGTGAAGTGTCCTCTTGCTACTTAATATTGCAGACATAATATTATTCTCTTCTGGGGTCAGTCTTCTGGATGTTTCTTCCAGCGATCAAGCTGACATATTCCCAGATTTTTCAGAACTTATCAGCATTCAATCTCCTGTCAGGCAAGCATTAAGGGTTATCGGAATCCTGTACTGATTGTGGGATGGACTAACATAGGCTCACCCCACTTTTATTGTCACAATTCTTGCTCAATCTACGCGAAGCAAGCACCGGATGCAGCACTGATACTGACCAATGTCAGATGTCATCCCTCAATATCTTGGGAAACCTAGGAGCATCGCTCAATTATACTTCGGCTTTCCAAGAGGATGAGCAAAGGGACGGGGAAGCTGACGAAATTCAAGATGAATCACCTGCCGCGGTAGAGGGTCTTCCTATCGAAACTGATCCACAGGCGAAACAGCAGGAGGCATAAATGAGCAGGTTTCCGTTTTACGCGCACTTCACTACAAAAAAAATTCTATTAGAATGCACACGACGATCGAACTTATAAGATCTCACATTCTTCTCTCCTGCTTAACAAGTAAGACGTTGATTATGGACGGTCAGAGCTGGTAGCACACCAGGAGACGAACTAGCACGCTCGAAAGCCGCCCATGACTGTAGAACACAAATCTACGCCGCGAGAGAAGGCTTTTCCTTGACGCAAAAAATAGTGAGTATCATAACTACATGCGAGTCGCTAGGCTACACAAAGTCAAACAGTGAACTGTCACAACGTTGCCTCACATGTATTCTCCAAAGTATAACATACGTATTGACAACAAACTGTAAATATTGTCTAGACGACCGGACACGCCCAGAATAACATATATCTTGAGTAGAACATCGGAAGCGGATTTGTGACATCACGTCAGACCAGGCTTTTGTTTTATAGACGTTGTCCTCGCTCGTGCAACGGCTCTCCAAACCAGCGTCCAAGCGGCGGAGATTAGCCCTATAGGAGGGATCAACCAGCCAATTGTCCACGTCCACCCGGCTCGTCTATGCATCTTAGTAATGAGAGAATTGACTTGCGCTTCGAGGTCGTGTAGCGACCCTGAGTTGTCTATCACAACGTCCGCATACTCAACCTTCTCTGCGATGGGCAGTTGCGCATTTAGACGTGCGCTCGCGTTCTCGCGTGACGAGCTGTCCCGTTTCATCAGCCGCTGCAGCTGTAGCTCTGGGGAACTGAGGCGCAGCAAGCCAATTGTCGGCCAGCGCAACTGAGGGTGGATGTGAATGGGCCACTTACCAGTAAACCACCACAACATGAGCAACAAACTTCCACAGGCCCCCTTCAATCAGCAGGGGCACGTCCAGGACGCACACCCGTTCGCCGCGCACCCAACATTTGACTACACCCCATAGCATCGCACGCCTCACGGCCGGGTGCACAATGGAATTAAGCTTCTTGCGCTGAGTCTCATCTGCGAACACGATGCTCCCAAGTTTTGCGCGGTCGAGCGAGCCATCCGGCTGCAAGATGTTCGCACCGAAATGCGCTGTGATGCGTTTGAGTGCAGGTGTGCCGGGCGCGACTACCTGTCGCGCGAGTACGTCTGCGTCGATAATGGGCACGTTCCGTTCGCGAAGGAGTGTTGAGACGGTCGACTTGCCTGTGGCGATACCGCCCGTGAGGCCAACAACTATGTCGGCGAGGTGCCATGGTTAGAATATTCGTACACGTCGCGCGAGCCGTAGAAATATACCTAGCATGTCGTGCTATACAACCAAGAGAGGTTTAGAACCCGCATGCACAACTCCCCGCACACACATGGTGGGAGCGAGGAAGATGCGCGTAAGGTTTGCAGTATAATTAGACTCGTAGATTAGTAATATGTACGTTAGGGATGTGTATCTATCATAGCAATGCACAATGCCAGTCATATCGTCACTGGTATCATACTGTGACTATGCAGCGCTCGCCAGGAGCTCCTTTTTCATCGCAATCTCATCCTTCAACATTGCGATCCGACTGTCTAGTCTTGACGATAAATCGACCTGCTGGGTGGCGAGCGAGAGCGCCTTCTCTAATCGCGCCTCAGCCTCCCGCATCGCCCCCGCCCAAACATCCTTCTTCTCAGCATCCGATACCTTCGGCATTGAGGCGTGGGTCTCGCCTGCTTGCACGTCCAGTCCTGGCACGCCTTCCACTCGCGCCTGCGCCTCCCGCAGCTCTAGCACTGCGAGCTCGAACAGGGCAACGCCTCCGATCCAGGTGCTCACCTTCACCGAAGAGTGACGCGCATGCGCATCAACGAGGAACGCTCGCCCTGAAGCATACTCCCCTGCCGTGCGATGCAAGATACCAAGAAGTAACGAGCGAATCGCCAATTCATCGGGGGTGTCGAGGTCAGCAGCAGCGGGTGCAGATGAGGGAGACGCCGCTGAGGGAGACATTATCGAGCTAGCTATCGTGGAAGGGGGTGTAAGAATTCCGAGCTCCGCAATGTGAGCCAGAGCAACGTCCTTTGGTATACGCGCATGTGTGTTCCAAACTAAAACGTCGATCAGGAAGCTTCTAAGGTATAAGACTCAAGAATAAATGCTTACAGATGGCGAGTTCTACAGGCAAACCGTCAATTGTGATCATCAAAACAAGTACAATATTTGCTCACCTTCAGCAGGGCTAATCTTCATGCACTGGACATAATTGTCCTCAGACCCAGTGAGCCGCTTCTGCTTCTCCTTGTAGAACGCCACTAAGTACATTCAACATGTCAATCAACAAGTAACAAAGATAGACTGGCGCAGATGCAGACATTTCTTCTTGATGAAGACTTCTGTCGGCAAGTCTTTCCCACCAATCTTTTTCTTGTCCAACAGGGCTGGGATCGCCTCGAACAGTTCAAGCGCTTTCTCATAATTCTTTAAGGAGATATAACATCCTAGAAAAACAGATTTGAGCTACTTGTTCCCCCCAAGATAACATCATATCTTGAAGCTTACCGGCAGCGATAAAGTAGTAGGTTCCGTGACTCCAACTGTTAATTTTTGTCATATTGATAAACGCATCCGCCGCCTCCTGGTAACGACGCTGGGAAAGCAACGTCCAGGCCAACTCGAAGATCAGCTGAGGCATATGTCAATGGTCTTGCCCATAGGTCGTGAACACAGTATCGCACCAGTCCATCAGCTTGGACAAAGGTTTTTGGACGGTCTGGTTTCAGACCATCTTGCAGGACCTGAATTGCACCCTCCGTGTCGTAAGACATGCGAAGAATCTTGGCCTATTCAAGTCGTTACCAATCGATACACTCACACAGCTAGATCAACTTACGCGGTTCAAAATCCACAGAGATCCATTTGGATAACGCGTTGATACCCTACGGAAGTTCGGTTAAGTCCATGGCCCATTGGATACACGACGCACTTGTCGACAATCGTGCGATACTGGCGCAGAATGTGCTGTTCGTCCGCTTGGTATCCCGAAAGCAATAATACCACGCCGTGATACGTCATCAGGGCCAACCTACAAGAAACTTCGTCGGGTGGCAGCATAAGTCACTGGTGAAAAACACATACCCCGCAAAGATACCATGTACATCAGTGTGCGCGGCGGAAACAGCAAGTGCGCGAAGTGCTAGTCGACGATCACTATTGAAACCGAGGAAGCCTACGACACCTCTAGAAACCAGGTTGATCGGGACACTATGAAATCGAAGAAGGAGGTACGAACCTAATCTTCGCTGGCAATAGGGAAAAGACAAGGTTGAATAATCTAGCATGTATTGTGGTCAACTGCGAACGATCTGCACATATTGCACGGCACCGATGAACTCACCCGTATCCTGTTGGCGAATACAAATACATCAACAAAACCAGTCACTTGGGAGGAAAGCTATGGGACGTACCGAATGCAGTGCCTGACAATATAAGTTCATCAACAGATCCCTCGACGACTTCAAAGTTGCTTGGGGTTTCAATAGTGGGAAGGGAAAGCGTGCTCGAGCTCACACTAGACGGAGTCGAGTTAGAGAAGCGCGAGAAGAACCCAGAGCGCTTTGAAACTATGCTAGTCGGCGTAGAGGAGGAGCTTGAGCTCTGAGTAGTAGTGGCAACAGAGAGCGTGGAAGACGCGGCGGAATGCACGCTTGGAGCGCGGGAGGGATCGGTGGAAGAAGCTGGGGTAGGGAGGCTGTCAAGACCATTCGGGTAGACAGTCTTGTATAGCCTGTGAATGTGCAATGCGCTACTGTGAAAGAGATGGAAAGCGCGGGAAGACGCACTTTGAATATTTGGAGTGGGCACTGTTTAAATATCAGAGGCGACACGAAGGCGTACGAGAAAGAAGTTGACCTATTCAATGAATAGAGGCATTGCAGGTAGCCCATGTAGGATTCGCTAAGGGAGCAAACGGGATCAGTATTTAATTAACATATGCATCGTTGGTGAGGACCTTAACGCATAATTAAGGCCAAGGAGGATGATGGCATCTGAATGAAGAAGTTCCCACTCGGTGCCGGGTGGGAACCTGGTGGTGGGTTTGGCATACTTGGATGCCTTGAGCTGCTTCTTCGAGCCAGCTTCGGAAAGAGAGAGACAACGCTGGGCCTCAGCCAGCAAGGCTGTCTGGGAGGGGAAATGCATCGGATGAGTGCGCAATCTAGAAATTGGGAGACATACCTCCATCCCAAGGGCGGCCTCGAGGAAGGCGCAAGCGCCGAGACCGAGCTGGTGAAATGGAGAATCGGTGGCCGCAAAGGCATCGCGGGCGTTCTGGAGTTCATTTGAGAAGAGATGGTCGAAGCCGACGGTGGCTGAGCGGAGGCTGTTCTGTGTCTCCTCGCTGTTTTGGGACATGGTGGGTGTGACGAGAGGACGAGGGGAAGGAGGAGGGAAAGTAAGAGGAGGGGCTTACTACGCGCATATTTGACAATGATCGCAGCCGTCCGACGAGCCAGCGGCACATCCTCCGACGTCCGGGTTCGGTGATTCGGTGGTCCTGGACGCGACAAGCACGGAACACGTGACCACCCTTTGAACGGCATTAATCAGTCTGACTGAAGCTGTCTAGGTGACCTGCAAAGTCCCTGCGCATTCCATCTTCCGCAGCTTCGAAAAGTTGCCACCGACTCGAAAATTCTTTCATCAGAGACATGAAAGGATATGCACATTCCCGATACTATCTAGTCGCTACTATTCATATTGTCCTTAGGAAACGATCGATTAAATTGCACTGTTACAATGGCGTCTAACGCACTTGTGTCTAGTTACGACATTCAATCCATATTACCGAGACTGGACGTAATCATCGATCTTCAGCAGTAGACAGACGGTCTCGGTCGCTAGCTCCACAGCACTGGTAGAGACAAGCAGGGGTTGCACGACATCTTCCTCGAGGATATTCGAGATCAGGCCCTTGAGATATTCCTTCAACTACTGCAGAAGGAAATAAATAAACAAAAGCTTACCTTGCGCACATTGATACCCGCGTTCCGCTCGCCCATTGCATGTCGGTTCCGGAGTTCGGTTACAATAGCGATCGGGTTCAGGCCGGCATTCTCAGCAAGGGTCGTTGGAATGACTTCCAATGAGTCGGCATATGCCTGGAAGCAATATGCCTCCATGCCCTTCAATGACTGCGCATATTGTGAAAGCAGACGAGATACGTGGATCTCCGGTGCTCCTCCACCGGCGATCAATGCCCTGAAGACAAGACAAAGTTCAATCCCCACTGATGCTGAATTTGTAGACGAACAAAGCTTACCGCTTCTTAACAAGACAACGGACGACGCACAGCGCATCATGCAGACTGCGCTCGCACTCTTCGAGGACGAGATTATTACTACCCATAGCCAAGATGCTCACAGTACGTCCGCGGTTCTTGACTCCTGTGATGCGTACTACCTTCGCACCAGCGTGACTTGACTCGTCAACTAGATCGGCGTAACCAAGCTTGTCTTCCGTAAATGCGTCGATGTCAGCGACCGGCTTGCAGCCAATACTTTTCGATAGGAATTCGATCTCATCTCGTTCGACGTCCTTTACGACGAGGATGTTCAGACGTTTAAGGAAGGTGAGTGATGTATCGTCGACGGCATCTCGCAGGATAGACTTTTGGATCAAGAGCACGTTGCAATTCGCCTTCTTGATCTTTTTGCAGATATTGAGCAGATATTGTCTTCCTTCCTTGATGACTTTGTCCATTTGTCTGTAGTCGTTGATGACCACTGTGTTATCCATCTAAGCGAAGCATAGGATGAGTCAATAAGGTATGGCATAAACGGGAGATGGCGTACATCGGGTTTAGGTGCGCTGAGTTGGAATTGGATAATACCGATCTTAGCCTTCTCAATCCGTGTTGGTCCACCTGCAGTAATAACCACATTTTGGTTCAAAACAACCCCGTCAACCAACTCGGTATCCTCAATGGTTCCGCCGACTTTCTTTACCACTCTGATATCGCGCAGATCCACGTTGGACGACGTAGGGGTGACCAGCCGCGTAACGGCAGCTACCGCGATAGGCGCAAGAGTGGAAGAATATTGGGATACGATCTGGTATGCGAAATGGTCAGAACAAAAAAAAAACAGAAATCGGACCGCGTGAGATATCCTTACTTTGGAGTTGAGAGACGTGGTTGCGGCACGCAAAAGGGCAGATTTATCTGCAAGGTCAATGGGCGTAGAGATTTCTGTGAGGTATTCTACGGCTTTTGCTGATGCTTTCAGGAAGGACTCGGCAACGATAGTTGGATGGATGCCTTTTTGAAGCATTTTCTCTGCAGCACCAAGAAAGCTACCCGCAAGTACGACGACAGATGTAGTTCCGTCGCCTGCCTCAACGTCTTGGGCCGCTGAGAGATCCACGAGCTTTACGGCGTGTCAGAAAATGAATACATTTTATCACGAAGATCAATACCATTTTGGCAGCTGGGTGCAGTGCTTGTATACTCTTCAATATTGTGGCCCCATCATTGGTAATGACGAGTTCGCCTTTTGATGTTTGGATCTAAGAAAAACAACATATTAGTGTGTCGAGAGTCCCGACGGTGTTAATCACGGACCATCTTGTCCATACCCCTTGGACCTAAAGACGTCCTGACGGCATCGCTGATAGCTGCAGTATGCCATGCTTCAGTGTGAATTCGTTGTGTGTGAATGATCGTATTGGTACCTTTCGCCGCGACCATATTGGACAAGCGAACCTCCATGGGTTTTCCCTGCAAGCCGGTCGTCAAAAATGGGAGTAGGAGCGTCGCTAAACACTGCTTGCCTTGTCATTGAATGCACTGTTTGAACCTAGCCTGGCTTGCGCCTGTGCAGGTTGAGCGGTAGAGGCCATGTCGGATAGAGATTGAACACTTGGCCGCTCGAGTGCAGGTTCCAGTAGTTCAGTGGATGCAGGCGTCTCTTCCGGCGAGGCCGGCACGGCGCGGGGTCGGGAGGAGGCCGGCCGGAGGGTGTGCAGCTTGGCGGAGGATCAGGCCCAGGGAGAGGACGCCAGCGTCGAGTATGCCGCCTTCCCTCCAGGCCAAGATCAACGCCTTTGAGGCCCTCGCCGCCGCCTCTGCCTCCCCCACCCCCGTC